AGCACTACGTAACCCCACCACTAATCCACATCTTACACGTTGCATATGCTGCCTCGTTCCTACATTAATAGCACCAACCTGTAGTTTACTGTCTGTGAAAAAAATCGTTAAAGAATGCGGTGAGCGAATAGGTCTTTTAACAGCTGTTAGAAACTCGGTTGATTAATTAAGAGTGCTAATTGCTTAAGGTTTTTTTCTAGCCAGTAATTGTGTTATAAATTATTGTCTGTCAATGAAATGGTCATTAGAGTACACAAGGTAATGACGCTGTGAAAATAAATAATTAGATTAGGTAATTTCTGTTGACCACTATCGACAAGTAACTTGGGTGCATTTTACTGGTCCATTGTGTTTGAAAGGAGAATTGTGTATGTTTTACAGGTCGATACATTTAGTTCGTGTAAACACTTAGGTAATGGCTGGAGGAGGCGTGGTTTTTATGTTGTTAGTTTTAGGTTGGGGGAGGGGATGTTTTGTATTTGTTAGGATGTTACGGTCGTTCGTTGGTTCGTTCGTTCGTTCGTTCTTTCGTTTGTTCGTTCGGTCCTTCGGTCGATCCGTCAATCAATCGGTTGTTCATCGTTCGTTCGTTCGCTCGTTCGTTCGTTCGTTCGTTCGTTCGTTCGTTCGTTCGTTCCTATGAAAAAATCTAATTATATCAATCATCACGTGGTCCGACTAAAAAAGACGCAATGGTCGATCTACTTCATAGAGATTCGCATGGTCGGGTCGGGCCGGTTATGCTCGTGGTTGCTGAACCTTTGCAGATGAGGCCTTTTATTTTGTTCTTGGTTCTACAAAAGCTGTGGAAGCAAATCCAGACAATCGAGAGACAAATTTTGAGCCATTTGGAATTGATGCTGGTTCGCTTCAAATGAAAATGTCTGGATTTGAAAACCAAACATTTAAGGTGTGCTAAGTTCACGGAACTCGGGAGAAAGTTAGGAGATTTGGAGGTCAAGTAAAACCTCCACGTTTCGCTGCACAACTGGACAGCTAAAAAATAAATGCCTCGAGTTGAGGCACAATTATATGACGCATTGAATATTCTCCCATGATACTACCATGAGGTAAAGAAGTTCGCATTTGGACTGCCGTCGATCTTCGGGTCACTATATCCATGCGAGCAAGCGTTTTCTTGCATGAATGAAATAATAAGTAAAGAAGCCAACCAGTGTTTCTTCCGGGCATTTCTTGGGAGGGGCTCCGCCCCCCCCCCCCCCCCAGACGAAATGGAATTTGTATAGAAAATGTATACTTTTAACAGTGTCCGCTCCCTCGGAAATTTTAGTCGGTTCCCCACGAAAATTGCAAGTGCTCCCCCTCCCCCCCTGGAGAAAAAAGTCTGGAAGAAACACTAAAGCCAACTAACAAATAAAAATCAAGAGGCGTGCTTGAAATTGAAAACAAGTTATGAGCCAGGTTCAAACAAACTTTCAAAAGGCATGGAAGCCCAAATTATTGTAAATAGTATCAATAATTATGGTCATATAATTTGACTACTGATTTTATTATTATAGCAGAGCTAGATAAGATACCTTAATATGTTTTGTGATAATCACGGGTATGTTTTATAGGAATAAATATTATTTCATTTTAAAGGCTATTTATTTTAAATTATATATAGGCCTATATATATATACATATATATATATATATATATATATATATATATATATATATATATATATATATATATAATATATATATATATATATATATATATATATATATATATATATATATATATATATATATATATATATATATATATATATATATATATATATATATATATATATATATATATATATATATATATATATATATATATATATATATATATATATTAAAATATAATATTGAAATAAAAATGTGTGTGGCTCTTTAAAAACTGGGATATTTAGTAAATTGCAACTTTCGGCTCTTCCGTCATAAAAGGTTGCCGACCTTTGGTCTATTGTATACTCCTTTTTGTTGCACCATGATGTAGAAGGTGGCGTCTACTACCTTTGATTTTGTTCTTAGGTGGTTGCCTAACTTCGTTATCATTAACGTACCTATAGCATACAGTAGTAGCCCCTATTTTGATATATTTGGAAAATAACAAGAATGTGGATGGTTTCATTTGGCAGACTGTTGGTCTTTTATCCCTGTCGGCCTTTTGTCCATGTCGGCATAAACATAAATGCCGTACAAACACAAGGCGATGAATAAATGGTGAAATCTGATGCGGAATAAAGTTAGAAAATTTTTTTAGTAAACAGAAAGGAACAAAATTGTAACAACCTTAATAGTAAATCTAAACTTTTTTTCGTAGAATGGTAGATTGGACTAAAATTTGAAATTTCTCAACATTTATCAAGGCCTCTCCAATGGGAGTAAAACTTTCTTTCTTAGAGTGATAAGAACAAAAATAATTTCATAAAAAACGTTTTAATAACAAGCTTTTATGTACTAATGCAATAAAAAGTAGAAAATAAATTATAGACTACTATTTAAATCACTATAAGGAAAAGCGTGGGTCTCTTCCTAAACATTAGTAAAGGTATCCAATAGATACTAAAGTGACCCAAGCTTTCTATCTAGTTATTTAAATCGTGGGGTCGGTGTGGTCGAGTCGGTAAAGCTCATGGTTGCTAAATCGAATTGGCTTTTCTTTATAGTTATTTAAATAGTAGTGTATAATTTATTTTCTACTTTTTAGTGCATTATTACATAATAAAAGCTTGTTATTAAAACGTTATATGAAATGAAATTTATATGAAATTTAGTACATGACGTGTTTTAGCTACACTAGAGTTGCAGGACTAAAAACCATTGCGCACCTGTTGAATGTGATGACGCGTGTCTAATAGTGCGGGATAGTTTGATGAGACAGCCTACTAATGTGGACACAATTTTAATTAATTCGTAAAAATATAATCAGGCAATTAAGTCAAATTTAATGTCATGTTGCATTGTTTTCATGTCTTGACCCACGTACCAATTACGAACCTTATCTATCAGGTAGAAGTTCCCGCAATTTTACTTGGGCGTTTCGATCTAGACAGACAGGCTGACGACTGACGACAGAGGAAGCAAGTTAACTAAAAGCTTGTAAAAACTAGGTGAATTTAATGTAGATAACCTGAAAAATATAAGCCAACTTACACTATAGACAGTACAGTGAATACTACAGTCGCTACGACAAGCAATAACTAGAGAAACTGCAAAAAAAAACTTTATTTACATCAACTTGGGTTAAGTTTTAATGAAAACAGTAGTATGTATATAGCGAAAAAAGAATACGTTTACAAAAAATTTCAATACTTACAGTGCGAAAATCATTCCTTAATCTACTTACCGAAATCAACAAAATTTTAAACATTAAAAATATACTTGTCTATATGATGACTTAAACCCACTTAAAGAAAGCGTAGTAAAAAGTTATTTTCAGAACTTTTTAAATTTACCACTTACAGTGTTTTAGAATAATACATTTGCATACGATTATAATTATATTTAGCCTGCATTAATTAGGTCGAACCAAACAAAGCACTTCTAAAGAAAATGACGCACCATCAAATACAGTTTGTTTACTTCCAACCTTATCTGAAAATTTTCAAAATCTTATGATCTTGTACCTATCAATATTTAAAAGGGTAATTAAATGAATATAAGTTTATAAGAAATAAGGTTAAAACTTAGTGCCAGGATTATTTGTGTTTTATAGTTAGATAAAGTTAAGACAGCTGGGCATAATGCTGACCACACCTTCTCCTCTTATGCCGAGGTCAAGAAACATGAACTCTATTTCATCTGCCTAATGGTTCGCTATGTCTAAAGAGGGTTCTTTACTTTTTTTTAATCACATGCATTCGTAAAATACCTTGTTATTTGCTGTTTTCCTGAGTAAAGTATGTTGGCTTCTCGGCGATTATACTACTGAGTGTAGGACGTAAATTGACCTTAAACGGTAAGGTAGATGATGGAGCTTGACGGGCTGACATTTCTGACTGGATATGTTAACAAATCAACTCAGATCAAACATTTGGAAAAAATCCTGCAATCTTACATCAAGTTACATCAAGTTACATCAAGTTACATCAAAATCATGGACGGCCGTACACAGCTGATGCTGATGAACAACTTCCATTGATTAACTGTAGATCTGTATCGCCATAAGACTACCACAAAGTCCAGGGTTAAAGAACACTGCTGATGCTGATGAACAACTTTCATTTATTAACTGTAGATCTGTATCGCCATACGACTAACACTCAGTCCAAGGTAAAGACGACTTGTTCGGTATGCTGCATGTGGATTTATAACCATCGAAATAAGAATTAAATCCATTTTATTGCCAATAAACATACCACTTCTGTCCTCAAAACGGAAATCATTAGTTATTTTTTCACCCCATACATAGATTCAAGCGAGATCTAGTTGTAAAACGATAAGTTACAAAAAATTATGTTTTCGATTCAAACGTTTGCGCACGATAAAACAAATTTGATTGTTTAAAAAAAGTATTATTTATATCGCACCAACAAAGCGCTTCCGAAAATAGCAGCAAGATTTTACTTCCGACCTATGCTAACAATATTTTTAAATTATTTGAATTATTACATTTATTAATAGAAAGACGTTATACTGAATAGTTATGTGTTTAGATTAGCTAGTATTATCAAAGATCAGTACCGTAGCAATGGGTTTGTATTCATTTGTTTTAAGATGTAAAGATGTAGATTAAAATATTTGTTTTCAATAATGAGCTTAAATAGACACGACTGAGTTTGATGAAACACCTAAATAAAATCTTTATTGATATATGAAAAAAAAACTATTTTTTAAAAAAAACGAGTTTTTGTCAATTTCATATTCATACCCGCCGTAAAAAAAAAATAAATAAAAATATGATCTGAAAATAATAATAAGCAATGTAATATTGCATGCGTCAATTTAATCTTTACGTCCTGCTAAAGTCATTAGCCGAGCCATAATACTTAGTCATTACAACATGGAATAGTTATTTCAATAGACTAGAGAACAAAGATCTCACTAAGGTTTAATTAACTTAAATACGATCAACCCAGGGGCATAATTATATGCATTTTGCGAAAATTAAAATCGACAAAAAATATCTAACAGCATACGAAATTTTATAAAATATAATTTCATCTTTATGTTGGATGACGCAACAGTTTTAAATAAAACACTGCATCAGCAATGACTGGGTGTTATCAGAACTATAGAAATATATTGTGAAGTCTTGCTTTGAAGTGAAGTTCATAATTCCAGAGTTCTCGGCATGAAGGGATAATGTTGTCAGCATAGACGTGAACAAGAATTCGAACTTGAAACTTTAATTAACCAAGATAAAGTACACTATGTTTATTTCAATTTCCGTATTGTTGCATTTCAGATTTAGTATATATATATATATATATATATATATATATATATATATATATATATATATATATATATATATATTATGTGTTTATTTATTTTTTAATTTATATATTCATATATATAAGCTTTTATTTTCAGATTTGAATTTATAAGAGGAGCGCTTTTGTTTTATGTTAAAAAGAAGAACTGATTATTTTCAAATGATTGCTTATTAGTTGCAGCGAAAGTCTATAAATTTAAAAAAATGTCAGTTTCTGACAAAATTATTAGATGCGTTGAAAAACTATGGACAGATGAAGAATTTTGTGATTTTACAGTTCAAATTGGTGAAGTGTCCATTAAATGTCATAGCATTATCCTCGCGGCTTGTTCGCCGTTTTTTCTTGGACTGCTGAGATCTGGAATGAAAGAAGCCAACGAGGGACGTGTAGTTCTACAAGATATATCAGTCTCCACCTTTCAGTTAATCCTGAAAACTTTGTACACCGGTGAAGACGTGTTGAGTCTTGAGAACTTCATAGAAATCTGGCACGCTGTAGATATGCTCCAGATTGGATTTCTTGTAGAGTTATGTGAAACATTCGCTGCTAAAAACATAAAACTGGAAAATTTTACTAGAATCTTATCCAGTGCTAAACTACTCGATTCTAAATTAGTGCTGACTTTAGTCAGAAATTTCATGGTCCAGAACATTAAAGCTATACACGAAACAAAGAGTTTCATGCAAATATCAAGTGATGAAATGCTTTGTTTGATTGGCAGACATGATCTTAATTTCACAAGCGAGTATTCTGTTCTAGAGTTTGTTCTAGATTGGATAGATTTCGGGGATTCTCAACCTGTAAATAGCTGTACTGGAAACAATAAAAAGTTAAAAACAACAGTACCAGTTAATACTTTACTGAACAACAACGCTAATCATAATATGCTGCGAAGCTGTTTAAAAGACGATATAGGGCCTGAAAACAAATGTGATGCAACTAACAATAAACAAAAATCCAATCAACCTAATTCAAAACAATTGGATAATTTGTGTTGCAACTCTAAAACAACAACTTCAGAAAATCTTAGCGGTGATAGATTCAATCAACTTAACACCTTACTGAGTCAAGTGAGAATTTGTACCATAAGTCCAGGTCTGCTAATGAATTTTCTAGAACATCGCCTCGTTAAACCTAACGATGAGGCGAGGCAAATAATCATCTCAGCTATCTTGAAGCAGACGTCTTTTCGTCATGGACAATGGCCAACTGCAGGTATCCACAGACAGTTTCACGAGTATGGCAACTATGGAGTTTACCTGTTAAAAACACGGGTAAATGTAGTTATATTAGACCCATTCGATGAAGAAATGTATAAACTGAAATTACGTAAAGGGTATCTACAAAACGTTCAGCTGGTTTCTTTTGACAATAAACTGTACGCCGTAGGTGTAAAATTATCCTGGTCAAACAACAGTAGTGTGTATGTTTACAGTAACAATACATGGACACATCTTATTGACATACCAAAAAGTGAACAGTTATTAGCAAGCAATGAACAACACATATACATTACAAGCGTCGTGGGAAATGTAATTTATCAATTCGACCCAAAAAGTAAACCTCCAATTATGATTCCATTTTCAACTGTTCCAAAAGGATATGTTGCAAAACAGGTTATGAGCTACCAAATTTACCTTATCTTTTTCTGTACTAAGAAAGTCAATCGTATCGAGACAACAGTCGTCCATATGTTAGACCTTCAGGCCAAAAGCTGGACAAAACTGGACAACCTCGATGGACCAGCTGACAACATCATCACTTTTCGTAACGACGACAACCACTTTGTGCTACAAACAAACGGCAACTTGTGGACTTTGAACAAAAACGCTGACAACATCACATTCACTTGTGTAGCAAAACTGTGGAGACAGGAGTTAATTCTATACGGGGCTGTTGTTTACGGAGAAAAGCTGATCATCTCTTACAACAATCGTGAAAGTAATCCAAAAGATTCATTTGTTTATACACTAGACAACATGTTTCGTACAATCAGGTACTGGAAAATAGAATCTTGCTGTTCAAATTTTATTCCCTGTGTTCTGAATAAATCATGTCTATCTGAATATTCAAACCAAAGTGATCACTTAGCTTATGATTCTTACTCTGATGACTCTGACTAAGTGATAAAACTCTATTAAAATGTGTAGTGATGGCTTATTTAATTAAAAAAATACTTGCTTAGATTATTTAAAATAAAGTTATATTAAGTGTTGTTTAAGTTGATACGTGTGAATGACTTCAGGAAACGTGTGTCTGTGAATATTTTGTATTAACATAATCAGACTACCAAAAAATGGACATCTTTTACTTGTTTTTAAGGGCGCGTAATTTAAGACTTTTTTTTACACTTTTATTATTCGCTGTTTCTTTATGACTGCTGGTGTATTGTTAAATATTACCAGATTTTGCAGTAGTTTTAATGATATTTATAGTAAGGTTATTTAATTATTTTTACATTTTTAAAATTTTAAACATTTTTTAACAATTTATTAAATATGTTTGCATATTAGCTTAGTATATTTTTGGTAAAAAGCATAACTTTTTATACACAAATTTAAATACATTTATTTCAATAAAAAATAAAACAGAAGTAATGTTGAAATTATTTATTTAATAGATGTTTGTCTTGTGTGTTTGAATGAATTCATTTTAGTTAATGTATATTTTGCATTTGTCTGTCACTTTGTGTTCTTTTAAAATATACACCCCAACAATAATATCAACATTGTAACAATTATTGTAAACATTTGTATTTCTTTTCTTAAAACCTAATACTATTTCGTCCCAAATAAGAAATATTTCGTTCTAAATGTAACGCCATTAATTTTGAAGAGAAACTAGTAATTGAGCCAATGAATCCATAGTGACACACTAAATAGAATAAAACTGAAACATTGTACACTATACACATGGTACAAAGGGAAATACAGTAACGTACAAAGATGAAATGCCGTAGAGAAATACTGACAACCCTCCGGCCAAATACACAACAACCATGGCACAGAACAACAAGAGTAGTAACACATTATGTAACATTTTACCTTGGTAACTATACATGTATGAATGTATGTTGATATATATATATATATATATATATATATATATATATATATATATATATATATATATATATATATATGTCTGTGTGTATGTATTTTCACATCATCGCTAGAGTGTGAAGGAAATATAACTATAGACTGTAATAAATGATAGTTGTATTGTCCACGGAGAGCGAACATGTTCTCCTTTAGGGCATGTCTCCGCCAACAAAGCGAGCAGCCACCTTGCTATGTAGGTGTTTTTTCACAAACATTTATCCATAGATGAGCTGACATTTTGATCTAGTTTCGTACACCTGATGTGGTAGGATTGTCTCACGGCAAGTCCACCTATACTGCCTATCGAAACTTAGTTTGAATCTACGAATATTATATTTCTAATCAGGGGCGTAGCGAGGGGGGTGGGCGGGGGGTGCGGACCGCACCGGGTGACACCATTTAGGGGGGTGACACCAAGGCAAAAAATACCAAAATAGATAGAGAAAAACTTGAGGGGGGGGGGGGGGTGCAAATGGAAAGAGTTTGAGGGGGGGTGCAAATCGAAAGGTTGAAGGGGGGGGGAGTGCAAATCGAAAGTTTGAGGGAGGGGGGGTGCAAATCGAAAACTCGCTACGCCTCTGGGGGGTGACACCATTAAGTGCCGCACCGGGTGACACCCGACCTCGCTACGCCACTGTTTCTAATTACTATTTTTAATATGTTTAATGTAATGTGACAAGCCCATGCGATAATGCTTTTCTCACAATTTGTATGTGGAAAAGTAAAAAAGAAAACTAAATTTTAATGACAATCAACTTTTGTTTTAATGTTAATTAGAGTTGACTAAAATCATTCTCAATATAAATATTTTGCTGTGAGATACTTTGTCTGAGATCATTTATCCCCGGTACTATTTGTTCTGATATCTTTTGACGGTGAGATTTTTTGTTTGGGATATTGTGTCTGGGATATTTTGTCACAATCTTGTCTATATGTATTATTATTTATTTTTCGCTTGGGAACAAGATAGCATACACACATTTATATTTGTTACCTCATACTTATACTTTACAGCGTCATTTGGCTTTGCAATTTTCGCTTCAGTATCACAAATGTTATCATCGGTTTATGAGGACTGATACAGATTTACTGACTGAGATATATATATATATATATATATATATATATATATATATATATATATATATATATATATATATATATATAATACCAAACTTTGTGTTTAAATTATGATCATACTTACTTACTTAATCCTCATCACTCCCTGTGGAGTATAGGGCAGCAACAAATCTCCGCCATTCCACTCTGTCTTGGGCGAGCCACTTTAGTTCATGCCAAGTCTTGCCAGTAGCCTGTACTTCTTCTTCCATCTCTCTCCTCCATGTTCCCAGTGGTCTTCCTCTCTTTCGCTTTCCAGTCGGATTCGACTTCAGCGCCATGTTGGGGAGTCTTCTTTTGCTCATGCGTAGGACATAACCCAGCCATCTCCATCTCCTCATTCGAACTTCTGAAACAATGTCGTTTAATCCTGTCCTTTGCCATATTTCCTTGTTCGGGACTTTTATGATCATAAAGTACTGTAAATTATCGGCAAAGGTTTGTGTTTGTTTAATTTTTTTTTAAAGTTACTACAAGAGGTGTGGGTGCAATCAGCTTAAATGTTATATTTTTCCATTTGATCACTCTACAGCTAATTTATGAACTACCTCTTATTGCATTTACCAATGTTCTTACTTCAATTTACTGCATCAAACTTTTGCACACTGATAAAATTAAACGAAGCCAACTATCTCGCACATTTAAAGCGCACTGAGTGAAAACCAAAACAAAATACAAAATACAAATATTTACTTCCGACAAGTTTGAAAAGGTTGTTCAGGTTAAACTGATTTTTTAAAAGGTATTTGAAATACTTTCAGTTAGAAAACTAGCCATTAGCTTTACTTTAGCTACGATTTTATTTAGTGTTGCTAGTACACGCTTTGAGTCAATTTAATGGGATATTTTTGGCTAAGAGGTTACAAATTATACAAATAAGGTAGATTTCTAGATCTGGAATCTGGAATCTGGAATCTAGAGCTAGATCTAGATCTCATGACATTAATAAACGAACTAGGATATTGTCGAATTATGTGTGGGATATTTTAATTTATTTTCTAAGGACTTTATGTGTTAATTGTAATATTATTTTCGGTAACTAGACTAAACATGAAAAAAAACGTTTTTTGTCGACGATTTCTAACATACGTAAACTAGGTCTAGACTGTTCTCAGTCATGCTGACTAGTTAAACGTAAACTAGATCTAGACTTTTCTAAGTCATGCTGACTAGTTTAAATAAGATAGTGTAATCCCACGATACAACGACGGAAATTTTACAGTCAAGTTAACCATGGTTATTCAACCAGTGAAATGTGAATAGTATAAAATCGAGAGTAATAATTAGTTTTAACTTTAATTGACATAAGGAGACATAAATAAAAACAGCAATTAGTAGATCTAGATCGATGTTTAAATATTATAGTCAATGTTAGCAATTATTTTTAAGAAGCACAAAAATAAAATCTAGCAGAAAATTTGCGACAAGTTGGCTAAAGTTTACTTAATTAGGAAAACAAAAAAGAAAAGACTCACTAGAACAATGATTATCGAAAACTGATTAGCAGCAGTGATCAAAAACAAAACTAAAAGTCATTAGCAATAAAAAAAATTTGATTAGCAAAGTATTTCACGTCCAACTTAAATAAATAAATCTAAATTTTTAACCGCTCTGTATTAATAAAAGATCGTGCCAAATCCGTTTTTACTGAACGGAGAGGTAGATTGTACACTGTTATTTACATTTTTTTTTTTGCATCTTAAACATTCCGGAATAATAACCGACACCATAACGTGGGTTTACCAAAGTAAGATTGTTAGGTTTCTTAGGGCGAATTGTATAACACGACCGAAAATGATTCCCAGTGTCAGGAAACACAATATTTACTGGAAAAGTAACTGACTTATAGCATGAAAATAAAAATGGTTCCTGTTAAAATAGAGCTAACATGCAAAAACCGTTGTTTTACAAAGTGAAATCTAAAATACTAAATTGTTAATTTATGTGTATGTATAGTATACAGCAAGCGTAAAAAAACATCTGTTCGATTTCTTGGATTTTACTAATTAAATATTACTCATTCACACACTAGTAATTTTAATTAAATTTTCTTGTTTTAATTAGAGTTAAAAAATTACTATTGCAGAGAAGACAAAATGTAAATAAAAACCAAACGTTGCCCCTTGTCGACACAAATAACCAGTTCACTCTCAGCCAAAAGGAAAAATGCTATAAGTACGCTTACGTGATGACATTTAAATGCATATACTTTATCAACACTGAGCTAGAAACTAATCCTAAACCTACCGTAAAACATAGCCGTATCTCTAATCTAAACTTGATTCTAATCAGCCTCACATTCGTTTTTATGCTCGCTCAACCCTAAAAAAACATCTCGGAATTCAATAGAAAATATCTCAACCTTCTCATGTTGTGAGAAAAAAATAAAGCAAACGTGTTTTCTAATAACAGCATTGGCCACTAAAAATTTTGAGAAAATTCATGAGCGGACAATCCTTTTCCTTAACAAGTTTTTGAACAATATTATTATCAGTGCATTTTAGACGGTTCCCAGAAAAATCCGCAATCGGAAAACTGTGCAGAAGAAAAACAGCGCAAACAGAAAACTGCGCAACGGAAAACTGCAAATACAGTGTTTCTTCCAGACTTTTTTCTCCGGGGTGAGTGGGTGGTCACTTGATGTTTTCGGAGGGCAGACATTTGCCGAGGGTAAAAGTATATGTTTTCTATATCAATTCCATTTCGTTAGTGGGGGGGGGGGTAGACTTTCTTCGGAGGGGCTCAGTCGCCCCCCCCCCCCCTTAAGAGATGCCTGGAAGAAACTACTAATACACTTAAATTTTGTCATATTTCACGGAAACATATTTCATTATGCAACAGTGTATATTATGTAATCGCTTTATGTAATTTCTTTAAATTATCGATTTAAGCAGACAAAAATCCCCTTGCGCTCTTTTTAGCGCAGTTTTCCTCTGCGCATCTTTACGGTCACAATGTAAGACATATTATTATGGTTAGTTTTTTTAAATACTTTTATTTTCTACTCTGTTGTATTGTTTAAAGTAATCTTATTAAAAAACGAAGTGTTTCTAAATTAACGTCTTTCTTTTCTTTTTCTTCTTCTTCGTTCTTAATTCTAGTATTGAAAGATATTTCCTTCAACACAAATAAGTATTCCGTGTCAAATTGTTATGTGCGACATAGGCCATTCACTCTGATTTCAGCCTGTTTTTCTTCATTTTTAGGTATTCAAGAATGTCACTTGCTGGTGATTTTTTGAAATGCCTTGGAGGATCTTTGTGAAGATGTATAATAGCCTACATCATCTCTTTTATTCTTACAAGTCAAAACTATATTCCATCTAAGTTTGAATTGATGGGGTTATTTTTTTTTCATGGTTTTATAATTGGGCAACGGTTTAGCTAATGAAGTTTCAACTTTAAAAAAAATAAACTCAAGTTTCAGAAATGCAAGAATGACAGTTTCTGGTGAAGTTTGTACTGGATATTTTAAATGCTTTAACAAACTATGGACGGATGAAGAACTGTGTGACTTTACAGTTCAAATCTGTGACGTTTCAATAAAATGTCATCGCGTCATTCTTGGAGCGTGTTCACCATTTTTTCTTGGACTGCTGAGATCTGGAATGAAAGAAGCCAACGAGGGACGTGTAGTTCTACAAGATATATCAGTCTCCACCTTTCAGTTAATCCTGAAAACTTTGTACACCGGTGAAGACGTGTTGAGTCTTGACAACTTCATAGAAATCTGGCACGCTGTAGATATGCTGCAGATTGGATTTCTTGTAGAGTTATGTGAAACATTTGCCGCTAAAAACATAAAACTTGAAAATTTTACTAGAATCCTATCCAGCGCTAAACTACTAGATTCTAAATCGGTGCTGACTTTAGTAAAAAATTTCATGGTCCAGAACATTAAAGCTATACACGAAACAAAACGCTTCGTGGAAATATCTAGTGATGAAATGCTTTGTTTGATTGGCAGACATGATCTTAATTTCACCAGCGAGTATTCTGTTCTAGAGATTGTTCTAGATTGGATAGATTTCAAGGATTCTCAGATTGTAAATAGCTGTACTGGAAACAATAAAAAGTTAAAAACAACAGTTCCATTAAATACTTTACAGAATTACATAACTAGATATATGCTGCGAAGCTGTCTAAAAGACGATATAGGGCCTGAAAACAAATATGATGCAACCAACGATGAACAAGAAGCAAATCAACAAAAGAATGAGAATTCAAAACAAGCGGATAGTTTATGTTGCATCTCGAAACCCAAAACTCAAGAAAATCTCCGCAGTGATATATTAGATCAACTCAACATCTTACTGAGTCACGTGAGAATCTGTACCATAAGCCCAGGTCTGCTAATGAACTTTCTAGAACATCGTATCATTAAACAGAACGATACAGCCAGGCAAATAATCATCTCAGCTATTTTGAAGCAGGCGTCTTTTCGTCATGGACAATGGCCAACTGCAGGTATCCACAGACAGTTTCACGAGTATGGCAACTATGGAGTTTACCTGTCACATTTAAGTGTATATATATTAGACCCATTCGATGAAGAAATGTATAAACTGAAATTACATGCAGGGTATTTACATAAGGTTCAGCTGGTTTCATTCGACAGTAAACTGTACGCCGCAGGAGAAAGCATATTCTGGTCAAACGACAGTAGTGTGTATGTTTACAGTAATAATACCTGGAAACATCTTACTGACATACCAAAAAGTAAACTGTTAATAGCAAGCAATGAACAACACATATACATTACAAGCGTCGTTAATAACGTAATTTATCAATTCGACCCAAAAAGTAAACCTCCAATTATGATTCCATTTTCAACTGTTCCAAAAGGATATGTTGCTAGACAGGTTATGAGCTACCAAATTTACCTTATCTTTTTCTGTACTGAGAAAGTCAATCGTATCGAGACAACAGCCGTCCATATGCTAGACCTTCAGGAGAAAAGCTGGACAAGACTGGACAACCTCAATGGACCAGCTGACAACATCATCAGTTTTCGTAACGACGACAACCACTTTGTGCTACAAACAAACGGCAACTTGTGGGTTTTGAAGAAAAACGATGACATCATCACGTTCACTCGTGTAGCGAAACTATGGAGACAGGAGTTAATTCTATACGGGGCTGTTGTTTACGGAGAAAAGTTGGTCATCTCTTATAAGAATAGTGAAAATATTCCAAAAGACTCATTTGTTTATACACTAGACAACATGTTTCTCACCATCATGTACTGGAAAATACAATCTTGCGGTTCAAATTTTATTCCCTGTGTCCTGAATAAATCATATCTATCTGAATATTCAAACCACTTAGATTATGATTCTTACTCTGATTCCTCTGACTAAGTGACAAAACTCCATTAAAATGTGTATTGATAGCTTATTTAATGAAAAAAAAATATGTGCTTAGTTAAATTATTTAAAATAAATTTAGATTAAGTGTTTTTTAAGTTGGTACGACGGACTTACTTCAGAAAACGTGGGAGTCTGTGAATATTTTGTATTGACATAATCAGACTACCAAAAATGTATAGGCCCACATCTTTTACTTGTTTCTTAAGAGCGCGTTATTTAAGCATTTTTATACACCTGGATTTTTCGCTTTTTCTTTGTGACTGCTGGTGTATCGTAATATACAGCCAGTATATGATATAACGATATTTATCCTGAAAATTATTTGATTTCTTTTTTAATTTTAAAAGGTTTACAAATTTTTAACAATTTCTAAAACATTATATATTGCTTATGAGCTTAAGATATTTTGGTAAAAAACATTACTTTTTATACAAATATTTAAATAAATTTATTTTAATAAAACATTAAACAGAAGTAATGTTTTCAATTATTTCTTTTATAGATGTTTGTCTTGTGTGTTTCAATTGATTTCAGGAAATGTATCTTTTGCATGTTTCTGTAACTTTGTTTACTTTTAAAATATACACACCGACAATAATAGCCATTTTAGCCATTATTGTAAACAATAGTAGGCTATTTGTTTTCTTACAACATAATACTATTTCGTTCCAAATAAGAAATATGTCTTTGTAAATGTCACTCCATTAACACTGAAGAGAAACTAGAAATTGAGTCAATCAATCCATAGAGACACACTACACAGGATAAAACTCAAACATTGTACACTATCCACATGGTGCTAAGGTAAATACAGTAGCGTACAAAGATGAAATGCCTTAGAGAAATACTCAGAACCAACTGACAAACACACAACAAACATGGACGGTGGCACAGAACAACAAGAGTCTTGGAAAATAGAAACATAATTATTATGTACATTTTACCTTCCTAACTATACATGTATGCATGTATGTTTATATATATATATATATATATATATATATATATATATATATATATATAATATATATATATATATAAATATATATATATATATAATATATATATATATATATATATATATATATATATATATATATATATATATATATATATATATATATATATATATATATATATATATGTATGTATGTGTGTGTGTGTGTGTGTGTATTTTCACGTCATCGCTAGAGTGTGACCGAAATACAACTATTCACTTTAAATTATAGTTGTATTGCCCACGGAGAGTAAACTTCTTCTCCCTTAAGGCATATCTCAACCAACAAAGCAAGCGGCCACCTTGCCACGTACGTGTGTTTTGATGTAGAGGGGAAGGAAGCAGGCGTTGTTACTGAAATAGCAATATAAACAGAAAGTGTACATAATAAAGTTCAAGTCGAGACAGAGAACCCAACGGGATCGGAACCTACCAATCCACACGGTACCAAATCGCGTCTTCTGTGTACAAGCTGCATTGTTGGTCTGCCGTGAAAGCTCTATTTTGTAGAGCTGATTAGCTGAAGTTGTTACACGTCTGACTTGAGGCATGAAAGGCGAGGCGACTTAGTGAGGACACGCCTGATTCAATTTAGTGAGCAACTGTAACGCCCCATTTTATCCATTGTCTATCGCACTGTTTAGAACGAACGCAGGCGACATTGCGCTCAGGGGGAAAACCCAGGGAGCCAAATCTAACCCTACAATGGAGCGGGGGGACGCTCCTGGGTCGATATAGTCAACGTTTTTTGTTGTCATCGTGTCTTTAGTATATAGCCTTTTTTTAAACGAACTTAGGCGCCATAGTGCTCTAAGGCGAACCCGGCGCGCTTCGGATGGATGAACGATGTTAAACCGCTAACGATTTTTTAATATGCCTTTATATAGAGACACAACAAATCTCGACCTACTGTGTTTCTGTAATCATTTTTAAGTTACTACAAGTGGTGTGCGTGCAGTCAGCTTAAGTGTTATTTTTTTTACACCTAATTTAGGAACTATCTACTGTTTCATATGCCAATGTTCTTATTTCCATTTACTGCATCAAACGTTTGCACACTGTGGTAACATTGAACGAATCCAACAATCTCGCACTATCAAAGCGCACTTAGTGAAAACCAAAACAAAATACAAATATTTACTTCCGACAAGTTTGAAAAGGTTGTTCAGGTTATACTGATTTTTTAAAAGGTATTTAAAGTACGTTTAGTTAGAAAATTAGCCATTAGTTTTATTTAAGCTACGATTCTGTTTAGTGTTACTAGTACACGCTTTGAGTCAAATTAATGGGATATCTCTGGATAAGGGGCAACAAAATGTACAAATATTATTTAAAAGGTAGATTTCTAGATCTGAAATCTAGATCGAGATCTAAACTTCATGATGTTGTAAAATTATTTATGTGATTTCTTAATATATTTTGTAAGAACTTTATGTATTAATTGTAATAATATTTTCGGTAACTAGAATAAACATGAAATTTTTTTTTCGTCGACGATTTCTAACATATTAAACTAGATCTAGATTTTAGTCTTTACTAAGTCATGCTGGGTAATCCCTTAGTTTAGCGTCGGTTATTATTCCGGAATCGTATAGCAGTAAAAAACAGTAAAACAATGCCAAAGTCTGTCACACACTTCCGGAATTCACCGGAAGTACTGTAAACCATACTTTATTTGGCGTCATCTTTTATTTTTATACAGAATGTTTAAATTTTGGATACATTTATTTTTGTAATCATTTTTACATTTTGTAATAATTTTTACTATTTTTGTAATCTAGATTTTTTTACTTGGTCTAGCAGCTAGATATCTAGCTAGATCTAGATCTAATTAATTAATGGTCGCAAATCTGCTGCAAGCCAAAAACATTAAATTATTACATTTGACTTCATTATTTATATTTGTATTAATATATGATTTTTTTTTATTTTTAGAACTACTAATTTAAATCTACTATTATATTTATTCTTGTTTCCTTTAGTCGATTAAACTTAAAAAATTAAAACATTAATTTACTACAATCGACTTTCAATTTATTTATATCTCAATGGTCAAATAAACCATGGTTTACCGTAACTCTAGTTACCGAAACTCAACAAACATTACCCGATAATTTCCGACGCTAAACTAAGGGATTACCGTCATGCTGACTAGTAAAGTTAGGGAAATCTCACGATATAGCGACGGGAATTTTACGGTCAAGTTAACCATGGTAATTCGACCAGTGAAATGTGTATAGTATACAATCGAGAGTACTTAATTAGTGTTTTAAGTTTTTAATTGAGATAAGGAGGCAGAAATTTAAAAAAAAGCAATTAGTAGATCTAGATCGAAGTGTAAATATTATAGTCAATGTTAGCAATTATTTTTTAAGAAGCATGAAAATAAAATCTAGCAGAAAATTTGCGACACATAGGTTTAGGTCTAGAAATAAATTATTACTAATTTTCTAAATTAGTATAAAAAAAGACTATCACTAGAACAATGACTAGCGAAAACTGATTAGCAGCAGAGATTAGCAAAAACACTAAACATCATTAGCAATAGAAAATATAAGTAGCAAAGGAGTATTTTACATAAATTCATTTACGTGATGAGTTTTAAATGCATGTACTTTATCAACACTGAGCTAGAAACTGATCCTAAACCTACCGTAAAACATAGCCGTATCTCTAATCTAAACTTGATTCTAAACAGCCTCACATTCGTTTTTGTGCTCGCTCAACCCTAAAAAAACATCCCGAAATTCAATAGAAAATATCTCAACCTTCTCGTGTTGTGAGAAAAAATAAATAAACCAAACGTGTTTTCCAATAACAGCATTGGCCAGTAAAATATATGAGATAATTAATGAGCGGCCAATCCTTTTATTAAACAAGTTCTTGTACACTTTTATCATCAGTGCAATATAGACGATTACCAGAAAAATCCGCAATCGGAAAACTGCGCAACGGAAAATTGCGCAAACAGATAAATGCGCAAATACAAAATGATTATACTAAAACACTTAAATTGTGTCAAATTTCATGGACATATAATATGTAATCGCTTTATGTAATTTTTCAAAATGCTCTATGGCCTTGCGCTCTTTTTGCGCAGTTTTCCGTTGCGCAGTTTTCAGTTGCGCATCTTTACGTTCACAATTTAAGACATTATTATAATACTTTTTTTTTTAAATGTCTTTAATTTTCTACTTTTAGCATTTTGTTCTTAAAGAAGCCCATAACATCTGTTGTTACCTGTGTTGTACGGTATAAAGTAATCTTATTCAAATGCAACGTGATTCTAAATGTACATGTCTTTGTTTTCTTCTTCTTCTTCTTCGTTCTTAATTCTTGTATTGGAAGGGATTTCCTAGAACACAATTAAGTATTCCGTGTCGAATTGTTATGTGCCACATAGGCCACTCAGATTTCAGCCTGCTTTTCTTAATTTTTAGGTATTCAAGAATGTCACTTTCTGGTGACGTTTTAAAATGCCTTGGAGGATTATTGACGCAGGAAGATCTTTGTGACTTTACAGTTCAAATTGACGATGTTTCAATAAAGTGTCATCGCGTCATTCTCGGGGCGTGTTCGCCATTTTTTCTTGGTCTGCTGAGATCTGGAATGAAGGAAGCCAACGAGGGACGTGTAGTTCTACAAGATATATCAGTCTCTACCTTTCAGTTAATCTTGAAAACTTTGTACACCGGTGAAGACGTGTTGAGTCTTGACAACTTTATCGAAGTTTGGCACGTTGCAGATATGCTGCAGATTGGATTTTTAATAAAGTCATGTGAAACATATGCTATCAAAAATATACAATTTGGTAACTTTAGTAAAATCTTCTCCACCGCTAACATGTTTGATTCTCAACTTGTGATTTCATCTGTAAAACAATTTATAATCCAGAACTGTGTGGCCATTTATGCCAAAAAACTATATCTTGAAATGTCATTTGATGAAATTGATCATTTAATCAGCAGTCATGATCTTAAACTTTTTAGTGAGTATTTAGTGCTGGATTTGGTGCTGAGCTGGGTGGAATACAAACCTATTATGGGGGATACTGACACTGGGAATATCTCGAATAAAAGCAATAAAAAGGTGAACACATTAGAAGCAGATGATGGTGTTTGTAATAGCAGCCAATATGGTATCCAAGCAAGTTGTATAGATGATACATGTGCAGACGTTAATGACAAAAATATTGTTGATGGAAACATGCGAAGTTGTGTGAACAGTAAAGATAAAGAATCAACTCGATCTTCAAGTCAAATAACAGTACAATCTGATAGTTGCAGCATAGATTCCAGAACTTCAGAACACACTAGTAATGCTAGACTAGACAGACTCGAAGAACTGATGAAACGTGTAAGAACATACAATATAAGCCAAAGTTCGCTGGTGAATGTTCTAGTACATCGTGTAATTAAACACAACGATCAAGCTCAGAAAATAATTTTCTCTGCTATTTTAAACCAGACATCTTTTCGTCACGGCCAGTGGCCAACATCAGGTTTGTACAGAAAATTTAACGAATATGGCAACTATGGCGTCTACTATAGATGCGGTAAAGGTACATTAGAGGTAGTGGACCCAGAGAAGGAGGGCTGGTACGAGAGTGTCATCCGTTGAGGCATTATGTCCAGCTGGTCACGTTTGACAGGGAGCTGTATGCTACTGGTGTACAACATACAAGTTACAGCACAGGTTATATGTTTGTTTACAGTAATAACTCATGGGTACGTGTACTTCATATGCCGGGAAAGGATTTTTTACTAGTGAGCAATGATAATTACATTTACATTACAAACGTTGCGAGTAATGTAATATATCGCTTAAATCCAAAATGTACAGTTCCCAGTTTTTTTTAATTTACCAAACTACCAGAAGGCTCTGTCGTTACTCATGTTATGAGTTACCGAATGTGTCTCGTTTTCTTCTGTAGTGAAACAATCAATGATTTCAAAGCTACAGCCGTCCATATGTTGGACCTTCAAGACAGGACTTGGACAAGACTGGACAACTTCGCTGGACCAGCTAAAAATATCATCAGTTTTCGTAATGACAACAACCATTTTGTGATGCAATCCAACGGCAACTTGTGGATTTTGAACAAAACCGCTGAAACCATTACATTCTCTCGTGTTGCTAAACTATGGGATATAGACACCGTTATTTATGGAGCTGTAGTTTACGGTGAAAAATTGCTCATCTTTTATCATAACTCAGAAGGTTATTCCAGAGACTCATTTACTTATAAATTGGACAACCACTTCAACACAGTCACTTACTTGGAAACAAATGAGTCTTCTTCAAATTTTATTCCTACTGTACTGCCGAAATCTTGTCTTGGTGAAGCTACAGAACAGAGCGATGACTTGGATGACGATTAGTAGACTTCCTTATGAAAACGGCTAATCTAGGTCCTCCATTTTAGCATCGACGACTTAGATTCACTGCGTTAACAATTTTAAAATAACTATTTAAAGTAGTTGTAACACATTGAAGTTACCTGTTAAACGTGTGGATACATTTGATTTTAGTTCACATAATTCTATTTAAACATTTCTTTTTAACACAATTGTTATTATCATACATGCAAACCCACGCATACATATGTTGGTGATAATTTTATTTGGAACCTATTCTACGCCATAAGTTTATTCATTTAACATATGGAGTATAATGCAGTTTGTTTCTGCATGCTAATGTAATTATTCGTATACGAATGTCGGGTACAGCAGTAAATACAATGACAATATATCTGAAGGTTGAATGATTTCTGAACGTAAGAATGTTTTACAATAAATGTAACACATAGTGTTTTTTTTAAAATATATTTACTTAAATATATTTTTTTAAAATCTTAAAACTGTTTCATATAAAAAATTAATTATTTTAATAAAAATGTTTCATTATAATCGAGTTTTAATTTATTTACATTTAAAAGATAATGTATTATCGTGCTCGTGTTAGTGTTTAAGTTCAACATTTCTTACCTTTTACAAATAGAAACTTGTAGATGCAATGAGGTTTATCTTAATAGAAATGAAACGACTCGTGTTAGTATTCTTACAAATTAAAAGCAATTACAGGTACACAGTGACGATTCAACCAAAGGTCTTCGTCAGCACACAACAGTCCGGTTAAAAACAATAACATTTCTGTTAATTGCAATAAAACGCAAACACGAAGTGGAAAAATCATTTACTACTTTTATAGAACTAATGTAATAGAATTAGGAATACTAATTGTTCTGAACTATACAGTTTCAACTTTAAATGTATTAGCGTTTGATAAAACCGCCCACTTCAGTACTTAATTAATTTAACATTTTAATTAAGTTGAGAAATTCGAGAAAATGTCAACAAAATGGAATCCCCATGAAGTTGTTATGCTAACATATTTTATAACAAGAATACCAAGTTAAATTTAGGATCAAGTTGATCTAGTTTTCGATTTTTATGGTTAGAGTTCGGGATTTCAACGTGTTGGTTTTATGTTCAATGCTATCGTTACATTAATTTAAAGTTATATATTGTTGAATTACTTTAAGTTGAGTTGTGCTGTTATGTTGTTTTATGTTGTGGTTTACTTTTCAAATCAGTCAGTAGGTATCTCACTTTATTTTTCTTACATTTTTTGCACACTTAATTAAATCGAATCAGAAATATATTTTTGCACTACAAAGCGCGATTTTGTTAGTTTAAAAATAAATACGCAGCGTATACATCCGAGCTTACAAAGTTTTAAAAATGTTATACAGATTTCTGGGAATATAAATATTTGTACTTTCTTACAGCGGAATATTATGGTAATTGTTAACATTATAGCTTCGTTTAATACATTTAAGCTATTATATGCTGCTTCATACTTATTGGTACCATTGTTATGCTTAGTGTTTTCTAGATCTAGATCGCAGTGAAACCCAATCAAGCTTGTTTTAAATCGAAATATGTCTTTTTATACGTCGTGTATTCAATATGATGACAGTGATAGATGTATTGAGCAGTATAAGACAAATGATCTCTGGATAAATTATATCAGGAGAAATGATCGCAGAAAAAATATCTCAGGACAAAATTATCTCTCGATAAAATTATCTCATGACAAAATTATTTCAGGACAAAATTATCAGAACATAAAAGAAATATTTTTGTTTTATCTTATATTATTTTGCATTCCTTTATGATAGTAAGACCGATGGGTTAAAATAAACACCTTTTAATTTAGAGGCGTGTTGACAAAGTGAGACACATATTATACATCCCAGAATAATACCTGACACTCTATAAAAAGCAGCTATTAATAAAGCTAAGGCTAAGGCAAGGCCTGTTCCATGCTGGGTGTTTTATGTTATCATTTCTAAAATTGTATCTTGTAAATTAATTATTTCAAATATTTTTTTAAATACGTTTAAGGGCTTTGCCCTTTCTTAAGCACGATTAGGTTTGGGCGAAGCTTACGCCGATTTAAAAAAAAAAGGTATTCTTATTTATTTAGTCGTGATTGACTTATATTATCTGTTTGAAAAACCTAAACTTTAATAAATACATCTGCAGGTAAACTGACAAAAACCGTCAATAGGGTTTTTCTATGAGTTATAATTTTGTCGGCGAAAACGTCACTTTCAACAAACAAGCATAGATGAGTAGATGTAAACAAAGCGATATGGATGATTTTATGGATGCAAGTACACAAACAACGTAAGTCAAAATCTGGTCGTCTAAGATTTCGTCAATGATGATCTATTTAGCCACGACTCGGCGTGGTCGAGTCGGTAAAGCTCATGGTTGCTAAACCGAAAAGTCTAGAGTTCGAACCCTCGGGCAGATGAGGCTCGTTAGCGGGGAATAACCCTCTCTTCTAGGAGAGACAACTCTAAAATCAAACAACTGCTGCCTTGTAGTTTGTTCTTGGTTGGACAAAGGCTATTGAAAAAGAAAATCAGGCGTTATTTATGAGTTTGATTTCTTTTTCCATCTCACTTTTATACCTAAAGATTATTAGCTTACTTATTGCAGTGTATTAAAATTTGACTACATAAATTAACGAGTATATTTTAGTAGTCTGGAATAGCAAACAATATGCTATGGTGGAATTATCTCCATTAGAAAGGGGCTCAAAGTTAAACTAAGACTAGTGAGCACAAACACGCCTAACTACACTGTAACCAGTGTTTCTTTCAGACATTTCTCTCCGGGGGAGGGGTGGATTTTCCTGGAAAAAACTGACCGTAACAATTTGTGAAAGAATGATTGGAAGTGGTGGGGCTAATCCTGCTATACATGTTCACCTAAAAAAATTACCTTTTCGAAACTGAAAGTCCATGTATGGGTGAAGAAGAGTTAACATGTTCTTTAATTTCTGCACATGAAGGGGTTGTGTGGATAGCGCTAAACCCGTACGTCTTTACTAAACTTCAGCTAGGTATATATAAAAACAGAATAGTGAAACTATTATGTATAGTATTTATATATATATATATATATATATATATATATATATATATATATATATATATATATATATATATATATATATATATATATATATATATATAAAGAGAGAGAGAGAGTCATATAAGTAATATATTTTTCAAACTCTTCTGTTAAAGGACCACTGACGTCATAACAGCACCAGACCTGTGCAAGCAGATCGTCAAGTGTGTAGCGAACATGTGGACAGACCAGACGATGTTTGACTTTACCGTCAAAACGGGTGACGAGACAATCCCCTGCCATCGTTTCGTCCTCGCCGCCTGTTCCGACTTTTTCCAGGGACTTTTCCGCTCTGGGATGAGGGAGGTCACCGAGAACTGTGTTGTGCTGGACGATATTTCAAGCGATGTGTTTCATATCATTCTGGAAACTTTATACACAGGAGCAAATTTGTTGACTTTAGAAAATGTTTTTGAAGTTTGGCGGGCAGTTCACCAGTTGCAGATACAATTTATGATACATTCTTGTGAGGATTTTGCTATTGAAGCAAACACATTAGAAATGTGGGGGAAAATTTACACTAATGCTAATTTTTTAGATTCAGAGAAAGTTCTTGGTTACCTCTATCCATTCATGCTAAAAAACTTTGAAAAAATAAGTCTGACGCCCGCGTTCCTGCAACTGTCTTTTGAGGAACTTAAAGCTTTGATAAGAAGCCAAGATCTCGTTGTCGGTAAAGAAGATTCGGTTCTTGAAGCTGTGATACGATGGGTTAGTTTTGTTCCTATAGTGATGGCTGAGTTTAAAGACAGTAACTGTGCATTGAATGCTGAAGTTTGCCGAGAGGAGAATTCCAGCATTATTAACAGCACTTTACCAGAATCTAACGTTAAAACTGAACTTATTAAAAATGTGAAAATCTCTCGAAAAGATAAACTTACAGAACTGTTAAAAAAAGTTAGAACATGTCTTGTGAGTCCTTCACTGCTATCCCACGTCTACAACATGAAATTGATATCTGAAAATAAAGATTCAAGGGATATAATCGTCAAAGCTTTATTATATCAAGTCGAAGAACTCAGACAAACTCACTGGCCTTCTTCTGCCCTGCATAGATCTTGTAGTGGGTACACCCACGGCGGATTGTTTGTTGAGGAAAGAGGGACGTTCAAATTCATAAGCGCAGACGAAGAAAAGATATACGAACTCTCAAAAGGTATGTGGCTGCGATACAATATTCAGTTAGCCCCTGTCAGAGATGAGATATATTGTATAGGCAGATACCAGTACAACCCCTCGGGGGTGTTCACATATTACGTATTTTCTAAAAATGAATGGAACTATGTAATGACAGTGCCGATTCAAAATATGCTGTTTTTTTCACATAGGGATTTACTTTACATTTTAGACAAGGATAACCGATCGATTCACCACAGAAAGCCAAAAGATAATCAAAGCGGTTTAGAGGTCCTCACAAAATTTACAGGCGATGTTAACGTTACGCTTGCTGTCACTATAGAAGACTGTATTTTATTATTTTGTTCAGAAACTCAGAACGGGTTAGACGAGACAGCAGTTCTCCATTATGATATTGTGTCCAAAGTTTGGACCAGATTAGACAATCTTGAAGGACCAGCTGAACATTTAATTAGCTTCAAGAACGACACACACACCTACATTTTACAAACCAACGGCTGTATGCTGGAGGTTCTTTACTCGATGTACACTAGAGATTTCGAGTTCAAATTCCTTGCTAAACTTTGGACTGCCCAAAAGAAGCTGTACGGTGCGCTGACCTATAAAAACAAATTGATTATTTTTGGAAAGACCTTGAGTGATGACCCGGCTAAAGTGCCAGACCTAACGGAAGTTTCCAATCACTTTAAACACATCAAGTACATGGAAATAGTCCGGAAATGCTCCAATGTTGCTTCTGTCGTTCTGCCAACATCTTCTCTCCGTCAGGGTATCTACTACACATAAGTGTCAAAACATGCATTGATAAATAATATATATATAAATATATAATATATATATATATATATATATATATATATATATATATATATATATATATATATATATATATACATATATATATACATACATATATAGATATATATATATATATATATATATATATATATATATATATATATATATATATATATATATATATATATATATATATATATATATATGTATATATATATCGATGTATGTGCAGGACAAATTGTATCGAAATTTACTTATATGTTTGCTTTAGTGAATGCTGATATAAATCTATTGTAAATGAGGAACTACATAGAATTTATATACTCGGTTAAACTACATACAAATATTTATTTGCTGTTAGAACATAATGATATACTGGAAGAAGGATTACGCAAATTTATTGATCAACCTAAGGTAAACGTATACAGTGTTTTTATAATTTAAGTATTTAATAAAACTTATGTTTATTTTTATGTTTTACTTTTATATAATAAATATACTTGAGATTTATTCTGATATTTAACAAAAAAATTTACTTCATTGTTGAATAAACATTTAGTTTTTTAAAAAAATCGATGTGTTTTTTTTATAACTTTACTAATATATTTTTAAAACTATGACCGAGTTAATTTGTTTGTGGTATATATATATATATATATATATATATATATATATATATATATATATATATATATATATATATATATATATATATATATATATATGCATACATATATATAATATATATATATATATATATATATATATATATATATATATATATATATATATATATATATATATATATATATATATATATATATAAAACACACGACCTCTGTGACGCAATTCTAGATTATAGAATGCCTCCCCACCCCCTACCAGCGGTATACGTTGTGTTTTTGGTCAACTAACACGTCACGCCCAAACATTTGTGTTAGTTGAACTTTGACTTTGTTTTAGAAACTAAAACCAAATATTTTAAAATCCTTTAGACAAGGTTCAAATACATTAAAACATAATAAAACAAACTTTCTTTCTTTAATATTAAAGATTCGATATCTTTGGACGCCATTTATGTTTTATCAATCAATATATATACGCATAAAAATTAGCTATAAATAGAGAAAATGTTGCCGCACCAACGTTGTTGTTAGTTTGATGCGGCATAAGATAACCTTTGTTTACTTCCGCCCTTACGAGTTATTCATTTTTTTTTTATTTTTACACAATAAAGAAGGTTCATTCAAGGTATGTTGAAATTTATTTGTACGGTAAGGTGGAGTTTCGTAATTTCACAATATACAGAATACACATAGCACACACAAGTACACAACACACAACATACATAACCTACACAACATACACAACACATACTCATACAACACAACAAAACATACACAACATACACAACGCATACAATACACACAGCACACTCAACATAAACAACATACACAACATAACATATATGACATATACAACACACTCAACACACACAACACAACATACTTAACAAACACAGCACATACAATACACATACCACACACAACCTAAACAACATACACAACATACACAACATACACAACACACATTATACACACCAAAGTCTAATCGAATACCAATATACATGGCCGCATCTTCTGCATAGAGCAGTCAAATTTGACAACTCAAGAAGAGAAGTTAGAAAATAATTGCAATGTAAAAACGGGGTTTACATTTTCACAGACTAAATTATAACACAACCCATTGCCCAAAAACGTCATCAGCAGATGATTCTGGGCGATTAACAAAATTGTATACTTTGACATCAAACGTTTGCGCATTATGATTCAGCACACTCAGAACAAATCTTCATTCCGACATCACTAGGTCAATGATATAACAAACACTGTAGGCCTACTAATAAAGAAGGTTTATCTATCAAATATGTTTTAATTGATAGTTAGGGTTAATTGTAATTGAGTAAAGTTGATCTGCATGCATTTTTATAACATGATGTTAACAAATCGATAGCAGAGCCCACGTATGTATGTAGTTAGAGTAGAAATACTTAGGGCGGTGTTCAGGTGTGGTTTGTCTGTAAATGTTCGTCAAAACAAGACGCTTGATTGCTAGTACTGTCTGCACTGTTGACCTAAGACCTAGCGATGTCTCTAAACTTAAGCCTGAACATAGAAGTGATCTTGGCCATAACCCTGAGCAGAACCCATAATTGATGGTATATTAACATAAAAAATGTAAGTAAAGAATCCTCTTTAGACCTGACGATTCATTTGGCAGATGAAGTAGAGTTCATAAGTTAATGTGTGGCCATCATTTTGCTCAGCCGCCTTAACTTTACCTAACTTGAGTTAGGTACCAATCAGAGCTAAGTGGAATCAGGGACACTGATTTGAACACGGATTCGAACTCGAGAATTTCGGGTCAGCAGCATAGCGCTTTACCGCCTCGGCCACGCCGTATATCAACATGCTTGTGTTTCAAAATCCAGTTGGTGAGTTCAAAAATTTGGTAAAGTCTGTTATTATTAAATTAAATATTACATGTCTATTTAAAGAATACGGCTATGTTTAGTGGTTAGTCTTCATTGGGCAGAGAATTAGGGGGTGGAAATAGAACTTAGTAAAAGCAACCACAAAATTGCAAACATGACTAGCTTAAAGATGGTTTTAATATAATGAGCTACGGGTGTACCTTTGTACAACACAGAAATCAGTGCCAATATTATTTTTCTTTTCTTTTTTTTTTAAATTAAGCTGTACTAAAGTAGTCTGATTGCCTTGACGGAATTCTTTGGTTTGTCTTTAACTTACATGCAGTTTTAAAGACTAAAACTACAAACAATGAGCTTTAGGAGAAACACATGCATGATGACTTATAAAATCGTATTTTAAAAAATTATTCGTTTAAGATAAGCTTAATATTTATTTATTTATCAATATTGCATTTTACTTTAGAGATAGATTAACATGAATAAATTCAAATATACCTTTGATTTTTAACTTTGCAGACATCAACTAAAATGTTAGTTTCTGACAAAATACGTAATGGGTATTTCAAATGCCTTGATAAATTATGGACAGATGAAGAATTTTGTGATTTTACAGTTCAAATCGGTGAAGTGTCCATTAAATGTCATAGCATTATCCTCGCGGCTTGTTCGCCATTTTTTCTTGGACTGCTGAGATCTAAAATGAAAGAAGCCAACGAGGGACGTGTAGTTCTACAAGATATATCAGTCTCCACCTTTCAGTTAATCCTGAAATCTTTGTACACCGGTGAAGACGTGTTGAGTCTTGACAACTTCATAGAAATCTGGCACGCTGTTGATATGTTGCAGATTGGATTTCTTCTAGAGTTGTGTGAAACATTTGCAGATAAAAATATAAACTTGGATAACTTTAAAGAAATTGTGTCAAGCGCAAAACTTCTTAATTCTCAATCCGTCTTGGAGTCAGTCAAAAACTATATGGTAAAGAATTTTGAGGATGTTTACGAAAAAAAACTATATTTACAGTTATCATTTGAAGATCTGTATTCCTTACTGGACAGTCACAAACTGAATGTCACAAATGAGTTTATTGTGCTACAGGCTGTTTTAAATTGGGTCGGATTCAAACCTTACCAACACGTTCCTGACACGTGTAACACCATTTAAAGTCAGAAAAAGTTAAAAACCGAAAAAGTGCATAATACCACCACACAAGTTGTCCAGGAACGTTGTTCGGATGACAAATCTACATTGGTCACTGACAAAATTGTTTTCTCTAAAGCTATATCTAACTGTTTAAACAAATCTGATACAGAAGCATGTCAAAATAAAAGTAAGAAAATATCACAGTCAATGAGTACCAACTCAACTTCAGAAAATGATAGACTTTACAGACTCGAAGACCTCCTGAAAAGTGTAAGAACATGTATAATTTCTCCAACATTGCTGATGAATGTTTTACAGCATAATTTTATTAAATATAATGAAAAAGCAAAAGAAATCATTGTCTCAGCTATATTTAATAAAACAATACAATTCAAACATGGTCAATGGCCAACATCCGGCATATACAGGGAGTCCCATGAGTATGGTAACTATGGAGTTTGCAATTTGTATGATAATGGTACCTTTGAGTCACTAGACTCTGATGCGGAGACGTGGTACGAAATGAAGTCATGTCCATCGTTAGCACACAACGTTCAGCTAGTAGCTTTTGAAAATGAAATCTACGCAGTTGGTTGTCAATCAGCTACTCAGACTAAAAGTAAGCTGTTTGTTTACACTAATAAGTGGAAGCAAATAGTCGAGCTGCCAGCCAAAGAAATGTACCTAGCAAGTAATGAAAATCACATATACATTACAAGCGTTACCGAAAATGTTATTTATCGATTTGATCCAAAATGCGCAGACGTCAATTTAATTAAATTTGCGGAAGTTCCAAATGGTTCTGTTGTAACTCATGTTATGAGCTACCGAGGGTATCTTCTCATCTTCTGCACTGAAACAGTCAATGACGGCGATAAAACAGCCGTCCATATGTTAGACCTTCAGGCCAAGAGCTGGACAAAACTGGACAACCTCGAGGGACCAGCTAAAAACATCATCAGTTTTCGTAACGACGACAACCACTTTGTGCTACAAACAAACGGCAACTTGTGGGTTTTAAACCAAACTGATGAAATGTTCGCATTCAATCGTGTAGCAACACTGTGGACGGTAGATCAGCTTATACGTCTATATGGAGCAGTAATTTACGGGGAAAAATTGATCATTTTATATTACAAACCCGATGAGGCCGATTACACATTGTGTAAGCAAGTGGATAACATGTTTAGCTCAATTAGATACTGGAGAACAGACACAACTAGTTCACATTTTATTCCTGCTGTGCTGCCTAAATCTTATCTTCATGAACGTGTAGATGACAAATAGGCTATGAATCACTACAGCCAACCAATTTTACCTTCACTATTGTACATAAACCATTTTATAAGTTTTAAAAAATGATATGTTGGCTTCAGCGTTAAGGAATGTGTCTGAATGTTGTCTATGAGAAGAATACGTAAACATATGTTTGAAAGTTTTCTTTCGAAGATAAGCATGTTTATAATAATAATCAATATATATATAGGCATATATATATATATATATATATATATATATATATATATATATATATATATATATATATATATATATATATATATATATATATACCCATTTTTTTAATTTATTCATTTATTTATTACATAAATTGGATTATATATTATATTAGTTTATATATATATATATATATATATATATATATATATATATATATATATATATATATATATATATAATTTCAATTTTAAAACTTACTATGTCATTGTTGATGATAATGTTCGTTTGTATTTGAAAAGTATATTTTAAGGTTTAACATTGTTATTATTGATTCATATTGCTTTTAACATAACAAATTTAACCTATATAGGCCAACAATAGCCGTACATTAGACACATAACTTACACTTTAGCAATTAAAATATTTCAATCTACAACAAAAAATCATTGCACGCTTATCATAACAAGCATATGTGTGCTTTCGATGGTAAAAGTTTGAGTAATCTACTGTACATATTAATTTAAAATAAAACATTAACATTAATTTTAAATATCAGAGCTAAATACTTATTGTTTTTCTTTCATTGAACGTCAAACTTTTATTTCTATAACTGAAGTTTAATCTCGAGTGCTAAAGTTAAGCCTCATTGCTTAATTATTTTTAACTATTCGCGCATTATAAAATGTGGCTTATCCAGGTGTCTATATTGAGGGACGAAGTGTTGTAAAACGATATTAGCTTTAATAAAACACAAATACAACTAGGTGATACCATCTCATGTTTCAAATCACCGGAACAATGTTTATTTCTTTGATCAACATCTAATTAAACCAAAAATGTTGCGATAGTAGCAAAAACAAAAAGGAGATTGAGCTAATCACTGACTTTATTTTCCATACAGATGTACACTGCGGTATGTTGTGGTCCTTTCCCGTTTCTAGCTATGACATCCCCAGGCTGTTGTGTTGGTAAATGGCTTGACAAAATGTCTGCTTGAAAAACGTGTATACTGCATTACGTATCTCCCACAACCAACCCACGCCTCTATATTTCTATTTTATGCAGACACTACTGGCTTTTTCAATATCCCTAGGACTGGCAGAGTTTAAAATAATAATTAACCTTATTTCAATGTTTCTTATAGGAATTCTGAGCGGCACTTCCCCCCCCCCCCCCCAACCAGATGTACTTCTATAACGCTACAGATTATTTACTATTAACTCTCTAACACACCGCCTCTCCTTCCCCCCCCACCAACCAGATGTACTTCTATAACGCTACAGATTATTTACTATTAACTATCTAACACACCGCCTCTCCTCCCCCCCCCCCCACCAACCAGATGTACTTCTTTAACGCTACCGACTATTTACTATTAACTATCTAACACACCGCCTCTCCTTCCCCCCCCCCCACCAACCAGATGTACTTCTATAACGCTACAGATTATTTACTATTAACTATCTAACGCACCGCCTCTCCTCCCCCCCCTCACCTCTGTAAAAATAATATTTAAAATATATTATTTAAAAAAATATAACGTTTTTAAAAAATAATTGACTAAACAACAGTTAAATAAAAACTTGTAAAGAAGATTTTTAAAAATGTATAATATCAGGATTATTAATAAGCAATAAAAATAAAATGACCTTTTCATATATTATATTACACTGCACCTGGTTTAATCAGCTATAAAGAAAAGCGTGAGTCGCTATATTAAGTATGGAATACGCTCAATAAAATCTTATGAAAATTTTAAATTTTCGCAATATACTTTTAAACTTATGCGCACGGTAATAGATAGCTTTGTTTATCGCACAAAATAGGCGAGCTAATGATTCTTCAGATTGTTTATTTCAGAATTTCAACACCCATGAAACTGTCAATATACTAACATAATTGTGTTATACCTTAGGAATAATGTTAATTTAAGAAATTAAAGTACAGTAGAATAGGAGTTAAACATGTAATATCTTAGCCGTTCCGGCCAAACCCAGCATTGGTCTTGGATAGGCCGTGACTTATTTACTTAGTAAAACTGATTGTTTTTTGTAGTTTCATCTACAGATTACATGCAGTGTTTCTTCCAGACTTTTTTCTCCGGGGGGGCACTTGAAATCTTCGGGGGGGGGGGGGGGGGGGCGGTAAACTTTCTTCTGGGGGGGCGGACACTGTTAAAAGTATATATTTTCTATATAAATTATATAAATTTCATTTCGTTCGGGGGGGGGGGGGCGGTAAAAATTTTTCGGGGGGGGCAAAGCCCCCCCGAAGAGATGCCTGGAAGAAACTCTGATTACATGGACATTAAATAAAATGTTAGGTTTGATTAAAATTTAGTTTAATTATGCGGTAGAGTTCGAATTTGGGTTTAAGTCAGTAGACAATCCCTGAGTCTACCCAACTCTGTTGGGTACCTAACTCACGTTAGGGAAAGATAAGGCGGCTGGGCATAGTGCTGACCACACTATCTCTTCCTATGCTCTACTTCACTTGCCCCATAGACCGTCAGGTTTGAAGATCTTTGGACGCCATTTATGTTTTATCAATGAAAATTTATAAGCATAAAAGTTAGCTATAAATAGAAAAACATGTTGATGCACAAACGTTGTTGTTATTTTGATGCAGCATAATATACCGTTTGTTTACTTCCGCCCTTACGAGTTATACATTTTTGAATATTTTTACAGAATAAAGAAGGTTCATTCAAGGTAATTTGAAATTAATTTGTACGGTAAGGTGGAGTTTCGTAATGTCACAGTATACAGAATACACACAGCACACACAACATACACAACACACAACATAATAACATACATAACATACACAACACATACAATACACACAAGATAACATGCATTATATACACAACACATACAATACACACAGCACACAGCACACACAACATACACAACGTACACAATACACACACAACACACACAACATACACAACACACACACACAACGCACACAACATACATAACATACAAATCATAAAAAACATAAACAGCATACACAACAAACACAACACACACATCATACACACCAAACTCTAATCGAATACCAATATACATGGCCGCATCTTCTGCACGTAGAAAAAACAAGTTAATAAAAAGTCTAGTGACAAGTCTAGTGATTTTCTTACAGTTTCTAATACTGTTGACTCAAGTCAATAGTATTATCTAATCAATAGTAATATAACTTTTACTTCGGCGCCCCACGTTTTTCATCGCTTATAGTAGAGTGATCGCTTGCATTATTGTGATGTATAGCATTTGATTTCTACTTTTCTAGTTCAATCAGAAAACGTGGGTTTTTTTAAACTTTTTTAATGATAATTATTATTACTTTGTTTTTGGTGTTGGGGAAAAAAATAATACATAATTAGCGAGGATTGATCAAGTGCAAATGTTGTAGGTATTTTACGAATAAGGTTGGAGTATTATAATTGTTCATTTGGTTTGGTTTGGTTTGGCACCTACGTTCGTTTAAGTGAGTGCAAAAAGACTATGAATAAGCTGGGGTACTATAGTCGATTATTAAGCTTTTTTCGGTTTCGTTTGTGTTTTTTTCTTTGGGTTTGTGTTTGTATTTGTGTTTGGTTTTGCGTTTGGATTTGGTTTGTTTTCGTTTGCTTTTTCGTTTGTGTTTTTTTTTTTGGGTTTGTGTTTGTGTTTGTGGTTGGTTTTGCGTTTGGATTTGGTTTGTTTTCGTTTGCTTTTTCGTTTGTTTTTTTCTTTGTGTTCGTATTGGTGTTGTGGTTGTGGTTGTGTTTGTTGTTAGGATTTTGTTTTCGTTTCCTTTTTTGTTTGTTTTTTCTTTGTGTTTGTATTGGTGTTTGTGGTTGTGGTTGGGTTTGTTGTTAGGTTTTTGTTTTCGTTTGTATTTGTAATTGTGTTAGCGTTATGTTTGCGTTTTGTTGTTTTGGTTTTGGTTGGTTGTGGTTTGGGTGGGCAGTGCCGGGTTTATGATGATTACTAAACACACAGGTAATGGTCTTTAACAGAAAGGTTTTCACAGAAGCCAGAGCAGGGCCTGGCCGGGACGGCTAGTAATATATAAAATATATTTTAACAATGCTGATTAAATTTAGTTTTATCTCCCATTTTCTACTATTTTGGGTTCATTAACAAAATTATATGCTTTGACCTCAAACGTTTGCGCATCGTCTTAATTTAGAAATTGGATTATCTTCATTGCACCAAATATACGCACGAATTACGATTCAGCACACTCAGAACATAGTTTCCTTCCGGCTTTACTTGGTCAAAGATATAACAAACACTGTACTTTTAAAGAAGGTTTATCTATCAAATATGTTTTTATTGATAGTTAGGGTTAGGTTTAATTGAGTAAAGTTGATCTGCATGCATTTTTATAACATGATGTTAACAAATCGATAGCAGAGCCCATGTATGTAGATCTATGTTGTTAGAAATACTTAAGGCGGTGTTCAGGTGTGGTTTGTCTGTAAATATTCGTCAAAACAAGACGCCTGAATGCTAGTACACTCTGCACTGTTGACCTAAGACCTAGCGATGTCTTTAACTTTAAGCCTGACCATAGAAGTGATCTTGGACATAACCCTGAGCAGAACCCATAATTGATGGTATATTAACATAAAAAATGTAAATGAAGAATCCTCTTTAGACTTAGCGATACATTTGGGCAGATGAAGTAGAGTTCATACGTTTATTGACTTCGGCATAGGTAAGGTGTGGTCAGCGTTTTGCTCAGCCGCCTTAACTTTACCTAACGTGAGTTAGGTACCCATCAGAGCTGGGTGGACTCAGTGACACAACTGATTTGGACACGGATTCGAACTCGAGAATTTCGGATAAGCAGCCTAGCTCCTTACCACTCAGGTCACACCGTATACTAACATGCTTGTGTTTTAAGATCCGATTGGTGAGTTTAAAAAATAAGTTAAAGTCTGTTATTATTAAATTAAATATTACATGTCTATACAAAGTACACGGCTATGTTTAGTGTTTAGTCTTTATGGGGCAGAGAATTAGGGGGTGGGAATTGAAATTGGTAAAAGCAACCACAAAATTGCAAGCATGACTAGCTTAAAGATGGTTTTAACCCATATTATCCCAAGGTCTCAAATTTTTTATAATTTTTCGATATGGTTTAGCTTTTGGGCACTGAATGAAGGAATGACTATGGATATTGTTTAAATCAATACTTAAATATCGATTTTTTTAAAAAAACGTCCCATAAATGGGACGCTAGCAACGAACGGCCCCATGTACATTTATTGAAAAATAAAATCATTTATCAAGAAATATGGCTAATCACGTGAAAATTAAGCTGTATACTAATTTTGTATTGTTAGAAATATGATTACATTGTTTAAGACAGCTACAAATACTGATAATAATCAATTGGGTTAGCCATACCATGGTCTAAAATGCAGAAATTATGTTCAAAAGTCTAGTTTTCTTTCAATCTAGCATCCATCAAAGTGAACAACACTTGGAAATAAGTAAAGCTGTGACTAGTACATCTAATTATACACACATGATCACAAATATTGTTATTATTTATCGAAACTGTAATATAATTAAATATAAATAATTGATTTTTTTGGGGGGCGTACTTGAAATTTTCAGGAGGGTGAACTTAAATTTCAGGGGAAGAGTGGACATTGGTAAAAGTATGTTTTGTATATAAATTCCAATTTGTTCTGGGGGCAGAGCCCCCCCCCCCCCCTCCTCCGAAATTGGGCCTGAAAGAAACCCTGCCCTCAGTGAATTCGCAAAAGACGATCCGGTCCAGTCATCCAGCCATTTTCTCTTTTATTACCCTAGCTATTCCCCCCCCCCTCACAGGCGTACATTAGGACATCAGACATCTTATTTCTATGGCACGGATCCATCTCTGGGGGCTTGTATTGAGTGTTCATGGCTCTCATCCATGTATGCTCCTCACTATGCGAACAGCTCCCAATCTAACACCAGGAATCTCCTTAAAAGGTTAACAAAGTAAAAATGGTATCGGGAACCTTTGGAGGGGAATATTATTGTGGCATGACAACAGTACACAGCTAATTCACAGTTCTGCTATATGTAGCTTGAGCTCTCTTATATGAAGAGTCTTTCCATCTGTTGTTAACCAACCCCCATAACTAAATAATGTCTACTAAATCGTGACCATTGTTATTATTCTGGTTTGTTATAATTTTAACATCACACGCTAGTAAATTTACAGCAGTACTAAATTAGTTTGTATTCAATGGTATTAAATACTTCAGTAAGTGTAATTCTGAAAACTTAAACATAAAATGTAAGTTTTTCAATATTTGCAATTTTTTATACAGTAATATATAAGTATATATAGGTCAAGGTCATAATTATATATCTATAAATACTACTTAACACCTTAAAGTAAAAGTTAACAAAGTCAACAATTGTTTCACCATAAATAACCATTTGACATAAATATTTGCATCTGTGTTCTCGCTAGTGTTAAATAAATGTGACGTTTGTGTAACAATTTGCATAAATATAGGTCAAGGTCATAATTAAATATCTATAAATACTACTTAACACCCCAAAGTCAGCAGTTAACAAAGTCAACAATTGTTTCACCATAAATAACCAATTAACATAAACATTTGCATCGGTGTTTCTCGCTAGTGCCAAAAAAATGTGAAGTTTGTGTAACAATCTACATGGGGCCATTCGTTGCTAGCGTCCCACTTATGGGACGCTTGGTGTACACTTGATATAACTAAGTAGTAAAAAAAATTGTTATCCTTAAATTTTTATCAGATAGAAATATGGTACTGTTACAAGTTTCAAATGTATTTTGCACTTAAAATGTTAACATTTTAGAAGATATGCATTTTCCTGTGCGCATGTTTTCTTTTTTCCGCCATTTTGACAAGTCCTGCAAATCCGGCACTATAACATTTTTCTAAATTAATTTTTTTCATAAAACACACAAAAATTCAATAATCTAACTATTTTCAAATACAATGAAACATAATTTGTGTTTTAACTAGTTTTTAATAAATTTTAGCAATTTTTTTACAAGCGTCCCATAAGTGGGACGCTAGCAGAATATGGGTTTAATATGAGCTACGGGTGTACCTTTGTACAACACAGAAATCAGTGCCTATATTATTTTTATATTCTTTATTTTAAAATTAAGTTGTACTAAAGTAGTCTGATTGCCTTGACGGAATTCTTTGGTTTGTCTTTACCTTACATATAGTTTTAAAGACTATCATATCGAAAAAGTTAGCGAAAACTACAACCAATGAGGTTTAGGAGAAACACATGCATGAAGACTTATAAAATCGTATTTAAAAAAAATTATTCGTTTAAAATAAGCTTAATATTTATTTATTTTATAATATTGCATTTTACTTTAGAGATTTATTAACATGAATAAATTCAAATATATATTTGATTTTCAGCTTTTGCAGACATCATTTCAGCCGCAACTAAAATGCTTGTTTCTGACATAGTATGTCATGGGTATTTCAAATGCCTTGATAAATTATGGACGAATGAAGAATTTTGTGACTTTACAGTTCAAATCAATGATGTTTCAATAAAATGTCATCGCTTCATTCTTGGGGCGTGTTCGCCATATTTTCTTGGTCTGCTAAAATCTGGAATGAAAGAAGCCAACGAGGGACGTGTAGTTCTACACGATATATCAGTCTCCACCTTTCAGTTAATCCAGAAAACTTTGTACACCGGTGAAGACGTGTTGAGTCTTGACAACTTCATCGAAGTCTGGCACGCTGTAGACAGGTTGCAGATTGGATTTCTTCTAGAGTTGTGTGAAACATTTGCAGATAAAAATATAAACTTGGATAACTTTAAAGAAATTGTGTCAAGCGCAAAACTTCTTAATTCTCAATCCGTCTTGGAGTCAGTCAAAAACTATATGGTAAAGAATTTTGAGAATGTTTTCGAAAAAAAAACTGTATTTACAGTTATCATTTGAAGATCTGTATTCCTTACTGGACAGTCATAAACTCAATGTCAGCGATGAGTACCTTGTTCTACAGGCTGTTTTAAATTGGGTCGAATACAAACCTGACCAACACGTTCCTGACACGTGTAACACTATTGAAAGTCAGAAAAAGTTAAAAACCGAAAAAGTGCATAATACCACCACACAAGTTGTCCAGGAACATTGTTTAGATGACAAATCTACAATGGTCACTGACAAAATTGTTTTCTCTAAAGCTATATCTAACTGTTTAAACAAATCTGATACAGAAGCATGTCAAAATAAAGGTAAGAAAATATCACAGTCTATGAGTACCAACTCAGCTGCAGAAAATGACAGACTATACAGATTCGAAGTCCTCCTGAGACGTGTAAGAACATCCATTATAAGTCCAACATTGCTGATGAATGTTTTACAGCATAATTCTATTAAACATAATGAAAAAGCAAAGGAAATAATCGTCTCAGCTATTTTAAACCAGACAATATATTTCAAGCATGGTCAATGGCCAAAAACAGGTATATACAGGGAGTCCCATGAGTATGGGAACTATGGAATTTGCAGTTTGTATCGTAATGGCACCTTTGAGTCACTAAGCTATGGCGAGACGTGGAACAAAATGAAATCATGTCCATCGTTAGCACACAACGTCCAGCTAGTAGCTTTTGAAAATGAAATCTACGCTGCTGGCTGTCAATCTGCCACTCAGACTAAAAGTAAGCTATTTGTTTACGCTAATAAGTGGAAGGAAATAGTCGAGCTGCCAGCCAAAGAATTGTACCTAGCAAGTAATGAAAATCACATATACATTACAAGCGTTACCGAAAATGTTATTTATCGATTTGATCCAAAATATGCAGACGTCAATTTGATTAAATTTACTGAAGTTCCAAAAGGTTCTGTTGTAACTCATGTTATGAGCTACCGAGGGTATCTTCTCATCTTCTGCACTGAAACAGTCAATGGCGTCCAGGAAACAGCAGTCCATATGTTAGACCTTCCGGCCAAGAGCTGGACAAGACTGGACAACCTCAATGGACCAGCTAAAAACATCATCAGTTTTCGTAACGACGACAACCACTTTGTGCTACAAACCAACGGCAACTTGTGGGCTTTAAACCAATCTGATGGAATGTTCACATTCACTCTTGTAAAGAAACTCTGGGCGCTGGACCACGTTTTATATGGAGCTGTGGTTTTCGGTGAAAAATTGGTCATTTTTTATTACAAACCCGATGAGACCAAAGACTCAAAGGCTTGTAAAGTGGATAACATGTTCAGCCAAATAAAGTACTGGTACACAGATGAACCTTGCTCAAGTTTTATTCCTGCTGTACTGCCTAAATCTTATGCTAAAATTTAGTTGATAAGTAGAAACAAGCAATTTTAATTACCTACAGCGAAAATAATTATGCGAAGTCGTTGTAATAAATGTGTGTTGTAACTTTTTTATTACATATTTATATCATTTTTATACAATGCAATATACATATATATATATATATATATATATTAATACTAATAGTTTCGCTGTCTGTCTGTCTATCTGACAAGAACGCTCTGTCTGACAAGAACGCTCTAGAGAAAACACAAGCAATTTAAAAACATGCATAGTATTTCGAAAAACGAAGTATGACGTCGACACATTTAGCGCAGAGTAGAACATAATCTCAAACCAGAGAGTGCACACAGTCATATGACGTCATTGATTATCGCGTAAACATTGAATTAAAAAGGAAATGTTGTCTAATCTAAATGGTTTGCGTGAAGAGTTTCTTGCATACAATTCTTCGGGTAGGGGCGAAGCCCCACCCCCCGCGTAAGAACGTCTGAGCCCCCCCCCCCCTCCCCAACTCAAAAGAAATTTCCTCATCGATACTCTATAATAAAATTACCGCCTAATTAATGTGTCTAATCTAAAAAGTGGTTTTCTTGCAATGGGACGGTAGACATGTTTTTTTGGGGGGGTGGGGGGGTGTGGGGGGGTGTGTGTGTGGGGGCGGGGGTGGTGTGTGGGGGGGTGGGGGTGGTGTGTGGGGGGGGTGGGTTGGTTTCAGTGTTTCTTTCAGACTTTTTCCTCCCCGGAGAGGGGTGGGGGTACTTGAAATTTTCGGGGGCGGGGGTAGAATTTTCTGGGAGGGGGCGGACACTGGAAAAAGTATATAATTATATTTCGTTGAATGGGACGGTAGACATGTTTTTTTTGGGGGGGGGGGGGTGGGGGTGGGGGGCGGTGTGTGGTGGGGGGTGGGGGTGGTGTGTGGGGGTGAGGGGTTGGGGTGGGGTTGGTGTGTGGTGGGGGGTGGGGGTGGTTTGTGGGGGTGGGGGTGGGGTGGTGGGGTGGGGGGGGGGGGTGGGTTGGTTTTAGTTTAGAGAAAAGAGACAGCACTATCAGCCTAGCGCCCGTTGTACCCTTCCTCAACGGGCCATTTATCTAGTATATATATATATATATATATATATATATATATATATATATCTATAATAATAGTTTCGCTGTCTCTCTATCTATCTATCTATCTATCTATCTGTCTGACAAGAACGCTCTAGAGAAAACACAAGGAATTTAAAAACCTGCACAGTAATTCGAAAAACGAAATATGACGTCGACACATTTAGCGTAGAGTAGAACATAATCTCAAACCAGAGAGTGCACACAGTAATGTAATGACGTCATTGAAACATTGAAAAAAAGGAAATGTTGTCTAATCTAAATGGTTTGCGTGAAGAGTTTCTTGCATAGAATTCTTCGAGTAGGGGCGAAGCCCCACCCCCCGCGTAAGAACGTCTGAGCCCCCCCCCCCCCTCCCCAACTCAAAAGAAATTTCCTCATCGATACTCTATAATAAAATTACCGCCTAATTAATGTGTCTAATCTAAAAAGTGGTTTTCTCGCAATTTCTTTAATGCAATTCTTCGCGTAGTGGCTAAGCGCGACACCAGTGTTTCTTTCAGACTTTTTCCTCCCCGGAGAGGGGTGGGGGTACTTGAAATTTTCGGGGGCGGGGGTAGAATTTTCGGGGAGGGGGCGGACACTGGAAAAAGTATATAATTATATTTCGTTGAATGGGACGGTAGACATGTTTTTTTAGAGGGGGGGGGGGGGTGGTGGGGGTGGGGGGGGGGGTTAGGGGGGTGAGTGGGGGGGGGTGGTTTTAATTTAGACTTTTTCCTCCCCGGAGAGTGGTGGGGGTACTTGAAATTTTCGGGGGTGGGGGTAGAATTTTCGGGGAGGGGGCGGACACTGGAAAAAGTATATAATTATATTTCGTTGAATGGGACTGTATACATGTTTTTCGGGGGGTGGGGGTGTGGGGGGGGGGTGGGGGTGGTGTGGGGGGTGTGGGGGGTAGTGGTGTGTGTGGGGGGGGGGGGGGCTGGGGGGGTTTTAGTTTAGAGAAAAGAGACAGCACTATCAGCCTAGCGCCCGGTGTATCCTTCCTCAACGGGCCATTTTTCTCGTCTATAATAATAGTTTCGCTGTCTGTCTATCTGACAAGAACGCTCTGTCTGACAAGAACGCTCTAGAGAAAACACAAGCAATTTAAAAACATGCACAGTAATTCGAAAAACGAAATATGACGTCGACACATTTAGCGTAGAATAGAACATAATCTCAAACCAGAGAGTGCACATTGATTATCGCGTAAACATTGAAAAAAAGGAAATGTTGTCTAATCTAAATGGTTTGCGTGAAGAGTTTCTTGCATACAATTCTTCGGGTAGGGGCGAAGCCCCACCCCCCGCGTAAGAACGTCTAAGCCCCCCCCCCCCCCCCCTCCCCAACTCAAAAGAAATTTCCTCATCGATACTCTATAATAAAATTACCGCTTAATTAATGTGTCTAATCTAAAAAGTGGTTTTCTTGCAATAGGACGGCAGACATGTTTTTTGGGGGGGGGGGGGGGGGGGGGGTGGTGTGTGGGGGTGGGGGGTGGGGGACTTTTTCCTCCCCGGAGAGGGGTGGGGGTACTTGAAATTTTCGGGGGCAGGGGTAGAATTTTCTGGGAGGGGGCGGACACTGGAAAAAGTATATAATTATATTTCGTTGAATGGGACGGTAGACATGTTTTTTTTGGGGGTGGGGGGTGGTGGAGGGGTGGGGGGGGGTGTGTGGGGTGGGGGGGTGGGGGGTGTGTGTGGGGGTGGGGGGGTGGGGGGTGGTGTGTGGGGGGGGTGGGGGGTGGTGTGTGGGGGGGTGGGTTGGTTTCATTGTTTCTTTCAGACTTTTTCCTCCCCGGAGAGGGGTGGGGGTACTTGAAATTTTCGGGGGCGGGTGTAGAATTTTCTGGGAGGGGGCGGACACTGGAAAAAGTATATAATTATATTTCGTTGAATGGGACGGTAGACATGTTTTTTGGGGGGTGGGGGTGGGGGGGGGGGTGGGGGGTGGGGTGGTATGTTTTGGGGGGGGGAGGTGGGGGTGTGGGGGGGTGGGTTGGTTTTAGTTTAGAGAAAAGAGACAGCACTATCAACCTAGCGCCCGGTGTATCCTTCCTCAACGGGCCATTTTTCTCGTATATATATATTTATATATATAGGTATGTTAGAAACATTATTTTATTCTATTATATATATGTATATTATATACTATTTGTTTTATATATAACAATATAAAGCAAATTAAAGCAATTTGAACAAAACCAAAAATAGTTCATACTTGTGGTGGGGGGAGGGGATGGTTTGTTTATTGTTTATACATATAGGTTCCGTAATGATCACATAATATATTCTCTTGTTCGGTAATCGAATCTTCAATATCGCAAGGCAGTGTGCAAAATCAACAATAACTAACACTTCAAAATAACAGATATAAAGTTTTTTCCTCTGCATATAAATCAATTTCCGACCCTCCTCTAATCTACTATTTCAACTCCTAACAATAATCTATCTCTCATTTGACTAAACTGCTTTCTAAACATAACTAACTCCGCTACAGCTAGCTAATCCTCGACTTTCCACTACACGCCCTTATAACCAAATGCTAGAGCTATCTACATCCAACTCTCAACTGAAGCTTCTTTGGTCAACAGACCGTCTCACGTGAGCGGTCAGTTCGTTCCACTGCATTCTATCGTTTTTTTTTCAGCAATGTCTATCTGACCTACGCTATTCTGTCTCTCGCTTTTCTATAATCTATATTTAAATCTTGCTTCATCAAAATACTGCTACATTACTGACGTGGAATATAATAATAGACACCATTAATTTAACTTCAACACTTTACTTGACATTTAGAAAATAGTCTAATCACTAGACTTTATTCATAGTATTAGCCGGGCGGAAACGCTCTATACTAGACATTCAACGGACATCACTATGCTAAACAGAAAAGTCTCGAGTTTGAACCCTCGGGCAGATGAGGCTTGTTAGCTGGGAGAAAGCCTCTCTTCTAGGAGAGACAACTCCAAAATCAAACAACTGCTGCCTTGTAGTTTGTTCTTGGTTGGACAAAGGCTATGGAAGCAAATCCAAAAAGAAAAGCAGGCTGAAATCGGAGTCAATGGCCTCAATGGCGCATAACCAGTTGACACGTAATCCTTAATTGTGATGGAAGCATGGTCGAGTCGGCACAGCTCAGGATGATAAATTTAAAAAAAAGTCTCGAGTTCAAACCCTCTGGCAGATAAGGCTCGATTACTTCCAACACTAAAAATTAAGAACGAAGAAGAAGAAGAAGAATCATGACGACAATTTTGATCTATAGAGACATTTAAATGCAAAATAAGGATTATTTTAACATTAAAATGCTTGCGATAGTAAATATAATAATATAGATTAACACATCGATTAATTTGAAACATTTTATATGATTGGACGTCGTGGCCAAAGCGGTAGAGCGCTACCTGCTAACGCTAAAGCCTCGAGTTTAAATCAGGCTCCATGTCAATAGAATATCCCTGGGCCCACCTAGCTAAGCAAAGTTCAGACCACACCTTCCCTTCATATGCCGTGGTCAAGAAAAATGCACTGTGCAAAGTTCTGACCACACCTTCCCTTCATATGCCGAGGTCAAGAAACATTTGAACTCTACTTTATCTGCCAAATGGATCACTAGATCTAGAACGCGAAATAAAATGTGCATAATAGTGCGGAATATTAGTAGTGCTTTATAAATTCACTTGCGTTTTTTTTTGAGAAATCCAAAATAGCCTAAATTACCACCTCTGGTCTAAGGAAGTTACTCAAAATTTGATAAAAGGCAGAGAATTAGATATTTTTCTTATATCTGAAGTAATACTTAAGATATAGGATTTAGAAAAATCAAAAATAGTAAAAGTTCCACTTCCGCTTATCGGAAATCGCTTAAAAATTAATACGGATCTACAAATTTGAAATAATACTTATATATGAAATTTCATCAACCTAGCTGTAACGGTACTCAAGTTATCGTGTTTACAGACACTCATACATACACACACACACACACACAAACACACAGATATACGGAAAAGATTGCAAAATTGTGTTTTTCCGACTCAGGAAAAAGGAAAAAAAGGTCGAGATTTAGATCTAGTTTGATGTCTTATTTTCTAATATTCTGGGTTGATTTACTAAATTACTTACTTTGACCTCAAACGTTTGCGCATCGCTATAATTTAGAAATTGAACAGTCTACATCGCACCAAATATACGCGCGAATTATGGTTCAGCATACTAAGAAGATTGTTTCCTTCCGATTTAACTAGTTCTAGATCTAGGTCCAAACACTGTATTTATAAAGAAGGTGTAGATCTAGATCTATCTATCAAATATGTTTTGGTGATAGTTAGGGTTAAGTTTATTTGACTATCGTAGATCTGGAGTTGATTGCATGCATTTTTTTATTTCATGACATTTAGAAGTCAATACATGCAATTAATAGAGCCCACATTAAAGTTACAGTAGAAATACGGCAGAGTTTGGGTAAGGTTTGTCTCTAAATATCCGTCAAAACAAGACGCTTGAATGCTAGTACTGTCTGCACTGTTGACCTAAGACCTAGCGATGTCTCTAACCTTAAGCCTGACCATAGAAGTGATCTTGGCCATAACCCTGAGCAAAACCGATAATGGACGCCCGCGAGAAAAATCTCAAAGTTATTTGAGAGGCCCATAAATTAATTTAAAAATCATGCACGGCGTAGTTACAATAAATATGGTTGTAAAATCCTGTCTGTCTGGTTTTTTTTCGGACTTGACTAAAGATTGAATGTATTTGATGTTTTTAATATTTTCGGTGACTAAATAAAATAAAAAAAAAAGCAAACACAATTTGGTTTTCAAGTGTAATGGCGACATAAACAATGGCATTCGATAGGCGGCCATAGATTTTATTGTACACATTGTAAGCTTAAAAATGAAAAACTAGGTCATGGGGATTAAATTTACATTGTTATTTAAAAACTTGATCTGCAAAGCTTTGTAACCAAAAAACTAAAGTGGGGCTGTGAGAAATCCATCACAGAGTTCCTGTACCGCCAATCAATGTTTGTCTTACGAAAGTGAAACATCGGGTTATAACTTAGGCTTGATGAAAATAAATATTAAACTCAACAAATTATTTTCAAGTTCTGTGGATCTGCAACTTTTATAGCATTGGTTCTAAAAATATTAAATTTCTGAATTAATTTTAGGCTTAAGTTTTTATTTTTTATTATTTTTACGGTCCTAAATCTGAAAAAGCACATTTTTATTTAATGTCAACAACATTACGGAAGGATTCTCGTCAACTCGCTGGTGTCCATTGATGGTATATTAACATAAATATTGTAAATAAAGAATCATCTTTAGACTTAGCGATACATCTGGAAGATGAAGTAGAATTCATAAGTTTGTTGACTTCGGTATAGTTTACCAATGTGGTAAAACCTTAGTTTAGCGTCGGAAATTATCGGGTAATGTTTGTTGAGTTTCGGTTACTAAAGTTACGGTAAACCATTGTTTATTTGATCATTGAAATATAAATAAAGTGAAAGTCGGTCTTAGTAAATTAATGTTTTAATTTTTTAAGTTTAATCGACAAAAGGAAGCAGGAATAAATATAATAGTAGATTTAAATGAGTAGATCTAAAAAATTATAAAATATACATAAATATAAATAATAAAGTCAAATGTAATAATTTGTTAATGTTTTTGGCTTGAAGCGGATTTGTGACCATTATGTAATTAGATCGGGAAATCTAGTTCTAGCTAGCTGCTAGGCCAAGTAAAACAATCTAGATTACGAAAATAGTAAAAATGATTACAAAAATGTAAACATGATTACAGAAGTAGTGCAAGTGACTAGAAACAGTGTTCGTACCCTACTTTGATAATAAAACCAGACCTTTGTAACCACACCATTATGTGTGCTTATAGCTGAGACACTTTCTTTTGTCTGCTATTAAAAACTACCGGTATCCCCCGCCTTTAACCTCCACACACAACAAGAGACGGTGGAGGGGTCACTGTGAGGTCACAGGGGCCCAGTCTAATACGTCATAGCGTGAACTGTAAACATAGCATGAGATGTACTGTAACTTTAATTCTCCCTCCCCCCTCGCCAGTCAAACAGCACCAACTACGTACTTGGGGTCACGGTGAGTTCATACAAGTTTAGAAATCTGTGACCTTAGTTACTAGGAAGGGTGGGTTAATCTAGCCCTAATCGTCAGCTTTTACAAAGATTTCAAAAACAGTTTGGAGATTGAATTCAAAATACAGGTAGTTACATTATACGCAGACTACCACTTACAGCTTCCCTCATAATTTTAATATAAGACTACTAGCCAGCAACCTCAGACAAAAGGAACAACAGCGGTTTAAAAAAAAGAGGTCAAGATTTGTGTGGCCGATCATTCTTTCATTACATAACAATTTTAAATACTTGTAACACATTTACAGGGTCAGTCACGCAACAACAACAACAAAAAAGGTCTAACACTCCCCCCTCCCTCCCTCAATAACGCAGTAACTGTGAAATCGCGTTTCTTCTACGATCCAGAAAAAACGTCATACCTCAGTGTAGACCTGTCCAGACTTTTTAAAGTCTGAAATTCAATTTTCTAAACTCAAGAATTTTTCCAAACTGCGTACGAACCCTGTTAAACAATGTTTAGTAGCAGAAATATTTAGCTGAAACACTTAAGAATAACTAGTTATAAAAAATGATTAATAAAGCAGTATTTAATACGCAATCAAAATAAATATATCCAAATTTTAAACGTTCTGTATTAAAAATAAAAGATGACGCCAAATAAAATATGGTTTACAGTACTTTCGGTGGATTCCGGAACTGTGTGACAGACTTTGCCATTGTTTTACTGTTTTTAATGCAATACCATTCATGATGAAAACAACAACACAATTGCAAGTATGACTCATTAATATAATGAGCTAATAGTGTACCTTTTTACAACACAGAAATCAGTGCCAATATAATTTTCATTTTCGTTATTTTAAAATTAAGCTGTTATTAAGTAGTCTGAAGCCTTGAGATAATTATTTGGTTAGTCATTAACTTACTGTTAAGAACATCATATCAAAACAATTATCCAAATCTACAATCGATGAGTGTTAGGAGACACTAATTTATGATGACTTATAAAATCGTTTTTAAAAAAAAACGATTCGTTAAGAACAAGCTTAATATTTATTTATTTTTTTAATATTACATTTTACCTTACAGATTTATTAACATGAAAAAAATCAATTATACATTTTGTTTTCCACTTTGCAGACAGCTTTCCCTCGCAACTGAAATGGTAGTTTCTAACATAGTATGTAATGGGTATTTCAAATGCCTTGATAAATTATGGACGAATGAAGAATTTTGTGACTTTACAGTTCAAATCAATGATGTTTCAATAAAGTGTCATCGTTTCATTCTCGGAGCGTGTTCGCCATTTTTTCTTGGACTGCTGAGATCTGGAATGAAAGAAGCCAACGAGGGACGTGTAGTTCTACATGATATATCAGTATCCACCTTTCAGTTAATCCTGAAAACTTTGTACACCGGTGAAGACGTGTTGAGTCTTGACAACTTCATAGAAATCTGGCAGGCTGTAGATATGCTGCAGATAGGATTTCTTGTAGAGTTATGTGAAACGTTTGCAGATAAGCAGATAAACGTGGATAACTTTAAAGAAATTGTGTTCAGCGCAAAGCTACTTAATTCTAAATCCGCCTTGACGACAGTCAATAATTTTATGATACACAATTTTAAGGAAGTTTACGAGAAAAAACTGTATTTGGATCTATCATTTGAAGAACTGTATACTCTACTTGAGAGTCGTGAACTCAATGCCAGCAATGAATACCTTGTGTTAAAAACTATTCTCAACTGGTCTGAATACAAACCCGCGGTCCATGTTCCTGACGAGTTCGGCATTACCGCAAATCAAAATAAAAAGATAAAGTCGGAAAAAAGTTCACATAATATAATCGCAGCAGTTATTCATGAACCTAGTTTAGAGGACAAATCTACAATAGTCAATGACAAAGGTACAAGCAACCTAAGCGAAAATAATAAAGAATCAAGTCAATCTAAAAGTAAAAAAACATTACAAGATGATAGCTGCAACTCGAATTCCAGCATTTCACAAAATGAGAGTAACGTTAAGCTTCACAGACTTGAAGATCTTCTAAAACGTGTCAGAATATGTACAATAAGCCCAGCTTTGCTGGCGAATGTTTTAGAACATCAATGTATTAAACTTAATGATAAAGCTAAGCAAATTATTCATTCAGCTATTTTAAATCAGACAATATATTTTAAACATGGTCAGTGGCCAACAGCAGGCACATACAGGGAGCCCCATGAGTTTGGGAACTATGGAGTTTGCAGTTTGTATGGTAATGGTACATTCGAAGCACTGGACCCGTATGATGAAAAGTGGTACAAAATGAAAACATGTGAATCGTTGAGAAGAAACGTCCAGCTAGTTGCCTTTGACCATGAACTCTATGCCATTGGTTTAGTATTAAACTCCCAGATTAAAAGTCACATGTTTGTTTATGGAAACGACTGGAAACATATAGCCGAACTGCCAGGAATAGAATTTTACTTAGCAAGTAATGAAAACCACATATACTTTACAAGCGTTGCGGAAAAAGTAATATATCGAATCGATCCTAAACATGTCGATGTCAATTTTGTTAAATTTACTGAAATTCCGGAAGGCGCTGTTGTTACTCATGTTATGAGCTACCAAATTTATCTACTCATCTTCTGTAATGAAACAGTCAATGGGGTCGAGGAAACAGCCGTTCATGTATTAGAACTTCCGGCCAAAAGCTGGACAAGACTGGACAACCTCAATGGACCAGCTAAAAACATCATCAGTTTTCGTAACGACGACAACCACTTTGTGCTACAAACAAACGGCAACTTGTGGGCTTTAAACCAAACTGATGGATTGTTTACATTCAATCATCTAACAACATTATGGACGTTAGACCACGTTATACCTCTATACGGAGCAGTAATTTACGGGGAAAAATTGGTAATTTTATATTACAACCCCGATGAGGCCGATTACACATTACTAAAAAAAGTGGACAACATGTTTAGCTCAATTAGATACTGGTACACAGACAAGCCTTGTTCAAATTTTATTCCTGCTGTGCTGCCTAAATCTTATCTTCATGAACTTGTAGATGACGAATAGGCTATGAATCACTACAGCCAACCAATTTTACCATCACTACAGTATAAATACTAATTTATAAGTTTTAAAAAAACATATATTGGTTTCAACGTTAAGGAATATGTATGAATGCTGTCTATGAGAAGAAAAACGTAAACATATGTTCGAAACTTTTCTTTCGAAGATAAACATGTTTATTATAATCTGCAATATATATATATATATATATATATATATATATATATATATATATATATATATATATATATATATATATAAATATATATATATATATATATATAATGTATATTTATATAAATGTGCATTTCTTACATTTATTTATTTATATATTTATTTTATATATAGGATTATATACTAAAGTCGTTTTCATATTTATATATATTTATATATATATATATATATATATATATATATATATATATATATATATATATATATATATATATATATATATATATATATATATATATAATATATATTTCACAATAAATAAAAGCGATTTTAAAAAATGCAAATACTAATAATTTTAAAACTTACTATGTCATTGTTGATGATGATGTTGGTTTGTATTTGAAAAGTATTGTTAAATATAGTTATGAATGTCTGATTGTTTCATGTTACTTTTAACATAAAAAATGTAACCTATAAAGACCAGTAATAACCGTACTTTAGAAAAATAAATTACACTTTAGAAATTAAATTATCTCACTCTAGAGCAAAACAATTATTGCCCGCTTAACAGAATACTCATATTTGTGCTTTCGGTGGTAAAAGTTTAAGTAATCTACTGTACATATTAATTTCAAATAAAACGTTAACAATTATTGTAAATATCAGAGATAAATAACTATTGGATTTTTTTATTGAACATCAACCTTTTGCGGGGTAGTATAATTATCACTTCTGATAAATTTCTGAGCACATATTCAGCGTTTATTAATAATTTTTATAATTTTTATAGACTTTTATTATATGTGAAGATGTGAGTAATGTGAGGAATGTAAAAACGAACTCAACAATTTTCTTTTGCATAGAAAATACAAACGCAAATTTAAATATAGCGGGAGTGATCTCCCCTATTTTTTTAGTGTTACCTGGCTATTGAAAATTTAATTATTTTTTAATACTTTTTTAATATAATAAAATAAATTACACAAATGACCAAAACAACTAAAATATTTTTTTTTCATTATTGAGCTGAAAATTTGGACTTTATAAAGAAACTTTAATCGTTTTCTTAAATAATTAAACATCTGAGTAAGTCTTTTTGTGTTGTTGTAGTGCATTGTCATCAAGTCTACACCTACGTTTAAAATTTAAAACAAATCAGTCATGTAGATAGAAATATGTCTTTGAAAATCGGGAATACAGTAAAGTACTAAATGCTGTAACTTAAATTGGAAACAAATTAAGAGCATTGAATCTTATACCGATTTATAAAATGTCCTTCATATAACTGAAATTGAAGATAAAAAATCCTAGTACAAGATCCAATACACATGTCAAAATTCTAACTTGAACAATATTCAAATTATCGTGTCCCTACCACTTCCGGTAACCGGAAAAATGTACTAAAGTTTACAGGAACCTTGAAATTCTGACTACCACGCTTTAATTGTACTTAAGTTATTTGCTTTTGAAAAACCAGAAGTTGAGTACGTATCACTTCCGGTTACCGAAAATCGCTCAAAAGTTAATAGGAGACTAAATTTGATATACTAGTGTTAATGAGATTTGGTCAAAATAACTGAACGTTATCCAGTTTATAGACACACACACACATGATTGCACTATTCAGGTTTTTCCAGCTATATAAGTTATAAAACGTCAAAATTTGTCTAAATCGCAATTTAGATTTTTGAAAAATTACAATGTATCCTTTATATTCCGTATACTATACAGTGGGAATTTGTAATACGGCGAAAACAAAATTTCATTCAACTTTTCTGAATTATTACAATTCTTTCTCTATACCCAGTATACAAGAAAGTAAAATGGCACGAAAAGAGAACGATAACTTTGCAAAGTACTAGATGAATGTGCATCAAAATCGGAGATGTATTTGTGATCTTTATGTACCGGTGGAATTGATGTAAAAAAATGTTACGCACTTAGATTAGCTAGCAAAATAACTCCACGGATACTTCCCTACAAGAGAGTCAATCCAGTATGTGTGAGACAGCCGGTCATGTTTAGTGCCGAGAAAACAGATGTCAATCATGAATACCTCAATGACATCATTGGACATTTAGCAAAACCAGGTTCAACTGCAACTTTTTAGAACAACATCCTTCTCAACCTTTTGGTACCCTGTTAATGCTGTGATTACTCTGGAGATTTTCATACTGTTTTTTTTTTCTTTTTGTGACATCATATTTTTGCGAGCTATTTATTTCGAGGATGGTTGATATTAAAACCAAGATAAGTTGTAGACATCGTTGTCAAAATGGCACTTGTCAGGATGTAGCCGCGCAATTCTGAACTGGAGTCTGGAATGCAACAGCAGAAGTCACACTGATTTGGAGAAAATATTCATAACTTAATTTATTTTTGGTTCTTTTTTTTTTTTTTTTTTTTTTTGAGTGAAAATTATACTTTAAGGTTTTTTTTTATTTGAACACAGTGATGTTATTTGCACCAGAAAATTATTTTATTTAACAAATCATTGAGATTTAAGATTATTATGGTCCGATGCTATTACATAACACTTTGTATTTTGGCTTCGAAACTTTACGCATGGTTTTGTTTAAAATTAGAACTGGATCTATTTATATCGCACCAAATAGGCGCATGTGTTTTATTCATCATAGTGAACAGATTGTTTACTTCCGACATAATAACATCTAAAATTCATCACGTTGTACATATAAAAATTATAAACCTCCGTCTATTGATACAGTTTTTATAAATAGGGTTAACATTAAGTCTGGTAATAATTTAAATATTCCTATAGATTAATGCCCGCGCGAGTTATCTTACTGGCTTCTACTAGTTCAATAGGAGGCGATTAAAATCTCTATACTAAACTTCACCATGTAACCTAATCAATCCAGCCCTATTCCTTCTCTTTTTGAACCGATCCTAATCTCTGTCCTTAAATCTAGTCCATAACTAAACAGCAGTATTGGGATTGAACCAATTTTCAGTAGTTTTTATCTAGCCAGAGTATTTAAGATTAAAATAATGATGATTCACGGGAGTTGGTTTAGTGAGGTTTTATTCCTAATTGAAACAATTTTGATTAATGTAATGATGTAGTGTTGAGAAATAGTACAACATTTTCTTTTAAAATTGTTAAAACAGCCATATTAAAACATGTATGTATAGCTAATTGATAAAATCTAATCGCAAGTAGGGAAAAGTCTGTATAAATAACAATATCTAGGTTTTTCATTATCTTTGTTCTAAATTGTAATGTTGGATGGAATTTCCTCCAACACAATGATTACGTGTCAACGTCTCATGCGCCCAATATGCCGATTTCAGCCTGCTTTTCTTTTTGGAATCGCTTCCATAGCCTTTCTCCATCCAAGAACAAACAACGAGGCAGTAGTTGTTTGATTTTGCAATTTTCTCTCCTAGATGGGTTGCTGTCCCCAGCTATCGAGCCTCATCTGCCCCGGGCTTGAAATTAGCAGCCTGGAGCTTCACCTACCCTAACAGGATGGCCCACAATTTTAGGTTAATTCTGCTTAAAATTATCCTGCTTCTTGCCTATTGCATTCCTTTGTTTAAACAAGACCCAGCAGTGTAGATTAGCTCTACCTTGCATCAGATGTAATGCATGCAGAGTTATGTAAGTTTACGTTCTCTAGCATTCAAGAAAATCAAAATAATATTAGTTCTTTAAACAGTTTTTGCTATAGTATATTTAATGCTTTATGTTGTATATCAAAAATCACATCTCATACAATGCACATCACACATCAAATATATGTCATCACACATAATATCACTTGTCAATTATTCAACATCACACATATTTATCTTATATTTTACGTTGCATCTAATCTAGAATAACCTATATCATATAGTTTTTCTTACATCACAAAACTATATACCACCTCAATTTAAAGTGATTGTTTGTTATTGTGTTTTTTTTTTCTTTTTTTCAGAATTATAAATTAGCAACGTTTTAGCTAACTTTAAAAAACCATTCGAGTCAAGTTTCACAAAAGCAAAAATGACAGTTTCTAATGAATTTTGTAGTGGATATTTTAAATGTCTTAACAAACTATGGACAGATGAAGAACTGTGTGACTTTACAGTTCAGATCGGTGACGTTTCATTCAGGTGTCATCGCGTCATTCTTGGAGCGAGTTCGCCATTTTTTCTTGGACTGCTGAGATCAGGAATGAAAGAAGCCAACGAGGGACGTGTAGTTCTACAAGATATATCAGTCTCCACCTTTCAGTTAATCCTGAAAACTTTGTACACCGGTGAAGACGTGTTGAGTCTTGGCAACTTCATAGAAATCTGGCACGCTGTACACATGCTGCAGATAGGAATTATTGAAGAAGTGTGTGAAACATTCGCTAAACAAAATATAAACGTGGAAAACTTTAAGGAAATATCACGCAGTGCTAAAAAATTAAATTCTAAGTCTGCCTGGTCCAGCCTTCGAAACTACATATTAAAGAATTTTGACGCTGTATATACAGCAAAACTGTATTTGGAGTTATCGTTTGAAGAACTGAATTCTATAGTAAACAATCCTGAACTTACTGTCAGCAGCGAATATGTGGTGCTACAAGCTGTTTTAAACTGGGCTGAATATAAACCTGTAGTACAGGATGCTGACAATATAAGTAGCAAAAAAATGATAAAAACATCAGGCTCGGCTAGAAGCTTACATCACGTTAATACTGAAATGCAATCCAAAAAACAGTCTGATCGCTGCAACACAACTTCCAGCATTTTAGAAAACTGCAGTTACGACAGACTTCAAGGACTTAACAACCTGCTGAAACGTGTAAGAACCTGCATCATAAGTCCAACTTTGCTAATGAACGTTTTAGAACATCAGTGCATTAAACGCAATAATTCAGCAAAGCAAATTATTCTCTCAGCTATTTTAAACCAAACAACTCATTTTAGACATGGACAATGGCCAACAGCAGGTATATATCGAAGATTTAATGAATATGGGAACTATGGAGTTTGCAGTTTACAAGGTGACATTACGTTATATGCTATAGACCCGTATGATGAAAAAAGATACGCAATGAAAAAAAATCCATTGTTGAGAAAAAATGTAAAGCTGGTTGCATTTGAAAATCAGATCTACGCAGTCGGTCGTCAATCGTCCTCTAAGACTGAAAGTAAAATGTTTGTTTATGGAAACAGCTGGAAACATTTAGTCGAACTGCCAGGAATAGAGTTTCACCTAACAAGTAATGAAAATTACATATACATTACAAGCGTTGCGGAAAATGTAATATATCGATTCCATCCAAAACATACGAAAGACAATTTAGTTAACTTTATAGAAGTTCCAGAAGGTTCGGTTGTAACACATGTTATGAGCTACCAAACGTATCTACTTATCTTCTGTACTGAAACAGTCAATGGCGTCCAGGAAACAGCGGTCCATATGTTAGACCTTCCGGCCAAAAATTGGACAAGACTGGACAATCTTCATGGACCAGCTAAAAATATCATCAGTTTTCGTAACGACGACAACCAGTTTGTGCTACAATCAAATTTACTTGTGGGTTTTTAACCAAACTGATGGAAAGTTCACATTCAATCGTGTAGCAACACTGTGGCCGGTAGATCAAGTTCTACATCTACAAGGAGCTCTCGTGTATGATGAAAAACTGATCATATTTTTCCACAGGCCTATTGATCAATCCGAATCATTTGTACGTCAAGTGGACAACATGTTCAGCTTAATTAGATACTGGAGCAATGACACGCCTTGTTCAAATTTTATTCCTGCTGTGCTGCATAAATCTTATCTTGATGAATGTTATGATCATTAGTTGAAGAGGGACATTACAATTTCGCAATTCTACCTTAATTAAAGTTCTGTAAATCTCTCTTGATTACCCTTATATAAACATAGATTATATTATAAAACATATTAATATGCTTTATTCATTTATATCCTTTTTTTTCAAAAGGCTTTTTTAAAGATATGATTATACCAATTTTTTTTAAATTTTTAATTTTACTTATTACATCGGAAAGTAAATTGAATAAATTTTTAGATGACATAAATGTTTTTTAAGTTGTTGTATGGATGCCAAGGGATTGTACGAAGAGTCCATTTCTGAATATTAAAATAAAACGAAAAATGGGGTAAAATAATAATCTTTTATTAAACATAGAAGCATATATTCAGCGTTTAAAATTCAATATATCTAAACTTTGATTACATGTGAAGATAAGAGTAATAGAAGCAAAAGAGAAATCAACAATTTTCTTTTGTATAGAAAATCCAAATGCAAATTTAAATAAAGCGGGTGTGATGTTTCCTAGTTTTTTTTTCGTAAATACTTAGGTAAAGGTGATCGCAATTTCAGTGCTATCTGGCTACAGAATTTTTTGATACTTTTTAAAAATATTGTAAAATCGAGCACAAAAATTAATTGTGACGAAAAGAAGTTAAACATTTCGAGAATAATTTAGCTGAAAATTAGTTCTTTATAAATAAATGTAATTATTTGTATTTAAATTATTTAAACATCTGTTAAGTCTTGTTTTTGTCACAGTGCATTGTCATCAAGTCTAGACCTACGTGTAAAATTTAAAACAAATAAGTCCGGTTGATAGTAATATGTTTTGAACTTGAAAAAATTAAGAGAATTTGATCTTATACCGATTTATAAAATTTTCTTTTATTTAACTGAAACTGGAAATAAAAAATCCTAGTATTAGATCCAGTACATATATATGGAATTTCGTATAATCTAACTTGATCAGTATTCAAATTATCTTGTACCTAAGAGCAACCTACTACTTCCGGTCACCGGAAAACGTACTAAAGTTTACAGGAACTTTGAAATTCTAATTACCGCGCCTTAAATGTGCACAAGTTATTAGATTTTGAGAAACCAGAAGTACGTATCGCTTCCGGCTACCGAAAATTGCATAAAAATTAATAGGAGACTATACATTTGATATACTAATTATTAATGAGATGTGCCCAAAACAACTGAACCGTTACTCAAGTTATCGGGTTTTTCGACGTTATTTTTGGAACGATATTTAACGTCAAAATTGGTCTAAATCGTGATTTAAATTTATGAAAAAATACAAGGAACCCTTATACTCCGTATATGATACAGTGGGAATTCGTAATGCGGCGAAAACTATTAAAATTTCATTAATTTTTTCTGCATGATTAAAATTCGTTCTCTATAACATGTATACACGAACGTAAATTGGTACGAACAGAGTACAATAACTTTGCAAAGTACTAGATGAATGTGTAATAAAATCGGAGATCTATTGTAATCTTTAAGTACTCGTGGAATTCAAGAAAAAAATAGCCACACACTTAGATTAGCTTGCAAAATCTCTCGACGGATACTTTCCTACAAGAGAGTCAATCCAGTATGTGTGAGACAGCCGGTCACGTTTAGTGCTGAGACAACAGATGTAAATGATGAATACATCAATGACATCATTGGACATTTGGCAAAACCAGCTTCAACGGCAACTTTTTAGAACAACATCCTTCTCAACGTCTTGGTGCCAACAAATGGGATGGTACCCTGTTAATGCTATGATTGCTCTGGAGATTTTCATACTGTTTTTTTTTCTTTTTGTGACAACATATTTTTGCGAGTTATCATTTGCGAGTATGCTTGACATTAAAACGAAGATACTTAGTAGACATTGTTGCCAAAATGGCACTTGTCAGGATGTAGCCGCTCATTTCTGAACTGGTGTCTGGAATGCAATAGCAGAAGTCACACTGATTTGCAGAAAATATTCATAACTTAATTTATTTTTGGTTCTTTTTTTTTTTTTGAGTGAAAATTATAATGTAAGGGTTTTTTTTTTTTAATTTGAACACAGTGATGTTATTTGCACTAGAAAATTATTTTATTTAACAAATCATTGAGATTTAAGATTATTATGGTCCGATGCTATTACATAACACTTTGTATTTTGGCTTCGAAACTTTACGCATGGTTTTGTTTAAAATTAGAACTGGATCTATTTATATCGCACCAAATAGGCGCTTGTGTTTTATTCATCATAGTGAACAGATTGTTTACTTCCGACATTATAACATCTAAGATTCATCACGTTGTACATATAAAAATTATAAACGTCCGTCTATTGATACAATTTTTATAGTTAATAGGGTTAACATTAAGTCTGGTAATAATTTAAATATTTCTACAGATTTATGATCTCTTTGGCTTCTTCTGCTTCAATAGGACGCGATTTAAATCTCTATACTAAACTTCACTATGTTGGCTAAACCAGCCCAATTTCTTCGTCTTCTGAACCGATCCTCATTTCTGTCCTTAAACCCAGTCCAAAACTAAACAGCTGTACTTGGATTAAACCGATTTTCAGTAGTTTTTACCAAGACATAATATTTAAGATTAAAATATTGGAAAATAACGGTTTAGTTTGGTTTAGTGAGGTTTTATTCCTAATTGAAACAATTTTGATTAATGTAATATTATAGTGTTAAGAAATGGTACAACATGTTCTTTTAAAATTGCTAAAACAGCCATATTAAAACATACATGTATAGCTAATTGATTAAATCTAATCGTAAGTAGGGAAAAGTCGGTATAAATAACAATATGTAGTTTTCCTTCTTTGTGCTCAATTGTAATGTTGGATGGGATTTCCCTCAACAAAATAATTACGTGTCAACCTCTCATGCGCCCAATATGCCGATTTCAGCCTGCTTTTCTTTTGGAATCGCTTCCATAGCCTTTCTCCATCCAAGTACAAACAACGAGGCAGTAGTTGTTTGATTTTGCAATTTTCTCTCCTAGATGGGTTGCTGTCCCCAGCTATCGAGCTTTATCTGCCCGGGGCTTGAAATTAGCAACCTGGAGCTTCACCGACCCAAACAGGATTATTCCGCTTGTTACCTATGTCTTCCCTTTGTTTAATGTAAGGTATTTAAATAAACCAAGCAGTTTAGATTACCTCAAACTTGGATCATAAGTAATGCATGCTGAGTTATGTAAGTTTACGTTCTCTAGCAGTCAAGAAAAACTGAAATAATATTAGTTCTTTAAACAGTTTCTGATAGAGTATATATATATATATATATATATATATATATATATATATATATATATATATATATATATATATATATATATATAATTCTCTTCTTGGAGACGATAGAAAACACCTAGCTGTAAGTGCGCTCCCTACCACCCCCACCCCTACATGGTTTGGTGAGCTGTGGTTAACGCTAAATGTTTAAAATCATAGAGCCGGGTTTAGTGACGGCTATTAGGGGCAGATAATTTAGTTTGAAACGATTTTAAACGTAGGGGAGGTAACTAGGAGGAGTTTACTTTCACGGGGGGGGGTGTAAGGTAGGGGTTGGGAAAAAGGAGGGTGGGAGTATCGTCCTTAACGATCTACTGATAGTGTTTTAAAGCAAATATTTTCAGTGGCAGCATTGGTACTGTCGAATTCACAAATTATGAATTACTGAAAAGTAGAAAATAAAACAACTAAATAGCGGCATATGATACGCCGCGGGTCGGTTCGTATTGTATAATTTATGAAGTATATCAAAAATCACATCTCATACAATACACATCACCCATCAAATATCAGTCATCACACATACAAATATCACTTGTCAAACATTCAACATCACACATATTTATTTTATATTTTAGGTTGCATCTGATCTAGAATAACCTATATCATCTCGTTTATTCTTACGTGGCAAGATTATATTCCATCTAAATTTAAATTGCTGGGGTTATTTTTTTTCAGGATTATAAATTAGCAACGTTTTAGCTTACGAAGTTTCATCTTTAAAAAACAATTTAACTCAAGTTCCACAAATGCAAATATGACAGTTTCTGATGAAGTTTGTACTGGATATTTTGAATGTCTTAACAAACTATGGACAGATGAAGAACTGTGTGACTTTACAGTTCAAATTTGTGACGTTTCAATAAAATGTCATCGCGTCATTCTTGGAGCGTGTTCGCCATTTTTTCTTGGACTGCTGAGATCTGGAATGAAAGAAGCCAACGAGGGACGTGTAGTTCTACAAGATATATCAGTCTCCACCTTTCAGTTAATCCTGAAAACTTTGTACACCGGTGAAGACGTGTTGAGTCTTGAGAACTTCATAGAAATCTGGCACGCTGCACACATGTTGCAGATCGGATATCTAATACAAATTTGCGAAGATTTCGCTATAAAAAATGTAAGCATTGAAAACTTTAAAGAAATATCATTAAGCGCTCAGATGTTGGATTCTCATCCCGTAATTTTATCTCTTAAAAATTTCGCGGTCGATAACTTTGACTATATTTACGCTACAAAATTCTATCTCGAGCTATCGGCTGATGAGATTTTGAATTTAGTTCGAAGTCAAACACTTCGTGGAGTCAGTGAACATCATGTTCTACAGATGGTTCTAAACTGGGCTGAACACAAACCTGATGTACCGAACTCAGGCGCTGTGAAGTGCATTACAAACAACAACAAAAGAATAAAAACATCCGAACCTTTACATAATGGAAGCACGGCTGGAGCACAGGAATGTTTACATGATAAAAGCTCAGCTGCAACTGATAACATTGTTAACATCGAAAACATAAGAAATGATGTACAAAATAATGATAAAGAATCAGATGAATCTAAACGTGAGATGGTTCAGAAATCCGATTGTCTCAGCACCACGGAAAACTCCAGAACGGATCGAATTAACAGACTTGAAGAGCTACTCACACATGTCAGAACTTGTATCATAAGTCCGACTTTGCTGATGAATGTTTTAGAGCATCGTCTTATTCGATCCAACGACAAAGCAAAGCAGATCATTGTCTCTGCGATTTTAAAGCAGGCATCGTTTCGTCACGGCCAGTGGCCGACTGCTGGCATATACAGAACGTTTAACGAGTACGGTAACTATGGAGTTTACTGTTTACACGGTAAAGGGATATTTCAAGTACTGGATCCATATGATGGCGAGTGGTTCACCTTGAAGGAATGTTCATCGTTAAAAAGCAATGTTCAGTTGGTTGCTTTTGAAAACGAGCTCTACGCCACGGGTATATACAGTTGTTTTGAAACAGAGTCTAACATGATGGTATTCAGCCAAAACTCATGGAAAGAGGTGGCCAACTTACCAGGTCTAGATCTACTTCTTGTAAGCAATGAACAATACATTTACATCACAGACATTGAAGACAATGTCTTGTACCGATTGAATCCAAAAACATTAAACTTGGTTACCCTTTCAAATATTCCAACAAGTTCGTATGTTACGCATGTTATGAGCTACCAAATGTATCTTCTCTTCTTCTGTACTGAACGGGTTAACGACGTGGAGGAAACAGCCGTCCATATGTTGGACCTTCAAGGCGAGAGCTGGACAAGACTGGACAACTTTGAAGGTCAGGCTGAAAACATCATCAGTTTTCGTAACGACGACAACCACTTTGTGCTACAAACAAACGGCAGCTTGTGGTCTTTGAACGAATTCAACGAAAACATCGCATTTACACGTATAGCAGAACTGTGGAATTCAGATCTCTTTCTATACGGGGCTGTGGTGTATGATGAAAAATTGGTCATCTTTTATCAAAATCCGGATAACTTTTCCAGCCCGATATTTGTGGAGAAACTCGACGGTATTTTCAGCTTAATTTGCTACTGGGAGACGCAAGAAGGTGGCTCAAATTTTATTCCCGCCGTGTTGCCCAAATCCAGTCTGTTTAAATATGTTGAACAAAATGATGATTCGGATTATTTTTGGTAGATTGTTAACAAACCAACGCTCAAAGAGGTTTTACTTCATCAAAATTGATTTTAATTAAAAGAAACAATGAAATATTTATTTACTGAAATCACAAACGCCTGTTAAGGCATTTAAAGTTTTTTTTTTAAAGGAAAAAAGTATTTGAGCTGATGCCAGTTATAGTAACACTATAATGTTTTCATACGACTCTCTCCACTATAATATAATGTTTTCACACAACTCTCCACTATAATATAATAATTTCACACAACTCTCCACTATAATATAATGTTTTCACACAACTCTCCACTATAATATAATGTTTTCACGAAACTCTTTTTCACAATAAAAGTGTAATAAAATCCTTTATATTTGGTTTGTTAATTAAAGTAATTATTATAAAATTGACGCTTAAGAAAAATATTCTTAAAAATATATTTTACTTTTTTAAACAGTTTTGAAATGTAAGATCTGGTTGTAATACACTCTTTGATTTCAGAAAACAATTTAAATCAATGTACATTAAATTGCAAATACTATTGACGTTTCCAAATACTTGTTTTGTAGATATCACTTTGTTGTGTGGTTAGTAATGTTTTGGTTTTGAGTATTTATTGTTAATTTAAACGTGTGTCTGCTTCCTTTCCCTGTCAACGTGGTAAATTTAATCCTATATAAGACACAATTATATCTGTTCAAGCTTTTATAATTTACTTTTTAATTCCATTTTAGCCATTCTAATATTTTACTGCATTTGCATTTTTTTAATAAACTGAAATAAAAATTTGAAATGTTGATAATAACAAGCTTTTATATATGTACTAAAATCTTTCAAATTTACTCATTTTATTTGATTAATTAATAACCCACTTCTTCTTATACAACTAAATAGAAAAATTGGAGTAGTTTTCTTGTGTTTTGAATCGCCTTTAAAAACTGTCTTAGAGACCCATAAAAGCGTTGTCTCCAATTTTAAATATGTTATTCGATTCAATTAGATTTAAAAAAATAATTTTACAAATTAATTTTAAAAATGTTTAACAAGTATTTATATACAAAAAAAACATAAGGAAAAAGGTTTTTCTTTAGTTATATTTATAAAAAGGCATGGGTCAAAATATTATGTAGTTAGTACTCTAACTCAAATTTGAAAAGAAACACTTTGCCACATTATATATATTTTTAAAATAATAATTCATTTAACATTGGTGTATTATTATATTTTAAAGACAAAGTATTCTTCTTAGTCACTTTTGTGTAACACTGAATTTCAATCGGGACTTGACCTACGTGTTATTTATGAGAGAAATCGGTTCGATAGAAGAGGTCGAAACTTGGCACGAAACTTGAAAGATGAAGCAAATTTAAAAAAAAGCTTTCATTAGTCTTTTCATAGAGCAACATTATATAATTTATTAATGAACGAATTTCTAAATACCATAACATTTCAAAAATTGTTTATTCCATCACCTACTTAAAACCCTTTAATATATAATTTTGGAAAACGTAGAATAACTTCTGAAAATTATATTTTAAAACGGATTTAAAATTCACATATTAATACATTTATTTTGTGTTAAAAATATATCAGGTGTGTCTACATATTTTTGCATTATACAAAATATTTTATGATGTTAAAATGAGTCAAATAAATGTTTAGATTGTTAAACAAAACGAGTGTTGCTACTTCTAAATTTTAAAATAAAAATCTCAAATTATTACAATGTGTATGTGTTTACTCGAGACTGTCAATTTAAAATGTATATAGGCTTAGACTAAACATCAGAGTGACGAGAGAATGGATGCAGCAAATGAAATAATATATTAGTCCTCTATTTCCAATTCCACATCCACACTTGTATTTAGCAAAAGCCATGCTTTGTTTATTTTAGGCACACTAAATAATTTACTAATATATATATATATATATATATATATATATATATATATATATATATATATATATATATATATATATATATAAACAAGGTAATGATAAAATCATTCCTCCTCTTTGAAATTAATTAATACTTATTTACCACTTATTAAATATTATCCGCCTTTACCGGATTTATTTCAACTCTTTATATATATATATATATATATATATATATATATATATATATATATATATATATATATATATATATATATATATACTCCTGCAGTTTATTTAGTGTTAGTAATATAAAAGGAGCTAATCGATCCGAGAAAAATAGCGAGGGAAATGACTAATCCGTATCGCCGTGGGGTGTGGGTGGAAGAGGGGAGGGGGGGGGGAATAAAGCCCTGTTCACAGAATAATAAACTAAAGATTTTTAATTTTTCTTTTAATCAGAGATTTCTTTATTGTTATAATCTTAAGTATTTTAATATGTTTACGTCTTAGGCCATCACAATTTTACCACCGTATAGAACCTACGTTGAGTTATCTACATTAAACATTTTGCGCACGATTATTATTTAGAAATTATTTTCGGTCGCACTATTCAAGCGCTGTTTTCTGATCAATGCAACAACACCCACTGTTTACTTCCGACTTTGCAATTTTTAACAAGCAACGAATCATCGTTCAGATTGAAGAAGGTATATGATTCTAGATCTATATTTTAAAAGAATGTTCTAATTACTGCTATGATTAAGGGGCTATAAGTAGAGTTTGATGTATAAACATTCATATAAAATGCTAGATCTACATACCATTACTGAAATTGACACTATTAAACCTAATTTTTTTTAAAGTTTTAATTAAAAATCTCCTTAGCTTCAGGTTAGGATTAGATTTCAGAGTTACATAAGCCTTTATGTTTATACAACTTACGTTTTTTCTTTTGTTTTTGTTTCCTTAAACCTAGAGCCCAAACCCTCTATCAACTTAACCATATTATAAAACTTTTTAGTGAACCTTATCGTAATGAAAACTATATACATTATTATACATCTACCCTATTTTCACTATTGGTAAAAACAAAACTTTATAATAGATCTTTATACCACTCCCCAGTAGTATAAAAAGATTCATATGAAATATGATACGCCATGTAATATTTTTGTATGATGTAGGTCTACAAGCAGCTGCTTGTTTGGTAGATAAAGAAATTATTTGGTAGCCATTGTAGAAATTCTAGTCTCGCCATTCATCAAGTGTTACGGATAAAAAAAAATGCCCAGATTTACGATAACAGTATCAATTTCTTGTAACTTAAGATTCCATTTAATTTATTGTAGATACTGAATATTTTAGTGCTTAGTTCGTTCATATTTTTTACAGAATCCTCACCATGACTGCCCAAGCGATTTGCACGACAATAGTCAAGTGTCTGCATGATGTGTGGACTGATAAAATGTTGTTTGACTTTGCCGTCAAGATCGCAGACGAAACAATACAATGTCATCGACTCATCCTAGCGGCGTGTTCTGATTTTTTCAAGGCACTTTTTCGTTCAGGGATGAGGGAAGTCACAGAGAACTGTGTTGTTCTAAAAGATATTTCAAGTGATGCTTTTCAGATTATTTTACAAACCCTATACACTGGTGAAAATATTTTAACTTTACAAAATGTTTTTGAAGTTTGGAATGCGGTACATATGCTGCAGATAACATTTATGATCAATATGTGTGAGGAGTTTGCTATTAAAGCTATTGCAATAGACACTTGGGAAAACATTTACACAAATTCTAAAGTTTTAGGTTCAGAAAAAATAATGAATCTCCTCCATTTGTTTATGTTAAACAACTTTGAACAGATCAGTATTTCACCAACATTTCTACAACTTCCATGCAAGGAATTTCAGGATTTAATCAAAAGTCAGGACCTCGTAGTCAGCAGTGAAGATCTGGTCATGGAGTCTGTGATAAGATGGGTCACGTATGACCCTAAAATCACGGGTCAAATTAACGAAAATAACAGAGAAATCAACGATATTGCTTCTCTAAACGATGATCAAAACTCAAATAAAAATCTGATGTTAGAAAATTCTTGCCAATCGCTTGTAACCAGTGAGACATCGTCTCGAAAAAATAAACTTACAGAACTGTTGAAGAACGTTAGAACGTGTCTTGTAAGTCCTGCGGTCTTATCTAGAGTCCTTAAAATGAAATTCGTTTTAGAAAATGAAGATTCTAGAGAAATAATTGTCGATGCCATGTCATACCATATCCCAGACGTGAGACACGGGCAGTGGCCTTCAGCGGCCATACACAGATCCTGCAGTGGGTACGTACATGTTGGGATAAGTGCTAGAGAAACTAGGTTTAGAGCACTCAACGCACGTGATGAAACATGGCGTAATATTCCTGAATGTGAATTTCTACAAGAGAGTATTCAGCTGGTCAATTTTGATGGTGACCTGTATGCGACGGGAAAACAAAACAACCAACCAAACGAACCTTGTCGAATGTTTGTTTTTTGTGACAAGACATGGAAGGAAGTCATGGAAATGCCTGGCCACAATTTGTTATTAGTTTCACACGGGGACTACATCTATGTACTGAACAGGGACGATAACGTCATAAGCACGGTCAATACAAGAAAGAAGATAGCTAAGCTAGAAACATTAACAACATGCCCGAAAAACGCGGAAGTGAAACATGTAATGATTCTTCAGCACTTTCTTCTACTATTTTGTTCTCACAATAACAAGAGCATAGACGAGACAACGGTTCATAAATATGACATCTTGTCCAAAGTTTGGACCGTGTTAGAAAATATTAATGGACCAGCCTTGAATATGGTAAGCTTTAGAAATGACAAACACAGCTACATTTTACAGGGAAATGGCAATATGTGGCTGGTATTTACTTCACCTTGCGATAAAAACGTCGAATTTAAATTTCTTGAAAAACTTTGGCACACTGATGAAGTATTACACGGCGCTGTAACTTATAAAAGTAAGCTGATTGTTTATAGGAAGTATTTGGAAAATAAACCACTAGTAATAAAGAGAGGAGGTAAAGTTACAGGCCATTTCCAAACAATCAACCAGTGGTCTTTGTATGATAATATTTCTAACTTCATCCCCCTCACTCTCCCAATCACAAGCTTTATATAGTCTAGCTAACGTAAATTTTTCAATTTATAAAGCTGTCTTGTAATTTTCAAAATTATATTTGCTTAAAAGGTTTTAAAAATACACATTTTTATATTGCATTATAAGGTTTGCTAAATAAAATTAAAATGATTTTTTTTATTTGACCTTTACAGATTTAGGTCAGTAGATAAAATGTTTAAATCATCATTTCTGACTATCAATTACAGTATGATTTGAAAGAAAAATCGCGTTAGGGAGAGTAAAGGAGGCTGGGCATTCTGTTGACCACACTATCCCTTCATACACTGAGGTTCCTAAAACTGGTGTAATTTATTCAACTGTCCTATAGACCATCAGGTTTGAAAGAGCACAGTACCATTTTAAAATCATTATTCAAAATGCTGAAGCATCGAAAGTTATCTGCCGTTGTCCATTATCTCCCTTTGGTTCTTGGCGAGGGGCTGACTGTGTTCCCCAAATGTCGTTTATTTACTAAGGGTAGGTCTCGTCGTTGCAGGTGTTTATTTACTAAGGGTAGGTCTCGTCGTTGCAGGTGTTTATTTACTAAGGGTAGGTCTCGTCGTTGCAGGTGTTTATTTACTAAGGGTAGGTCTCGTCGTTGCAGGTGTTTATTTACTAAGGGTAGGTCTCGTCGTTGCAGGTGTTTATTTACTAAGGGTAGGTCTCGTTGTTGCCAGAAACTACTGCACTTAACGTGCTCGTGTAACTCATCTAGAGAAAAACTACTGCACTTAACGTGCTCGTGTAACTCATCTAGAGAAAAACTGCTGTACTTAACGTGCTAGTGTAACTCATCTAGAGAAAAACTGCTGTACTTAACATGCTAGTGTAACTCATCTAGAGAAAAACTGCTGTACTTAACGTGCTAGTGTAACTCATCTAGAGAAAAACTGCTGTAATTAACGTGCTAGTGTAACTCATCTAGAGAAAAACTGCTGTACTTAACGTGCTAGTGTAACTCATCTAGAGAAAAACTGCTGTACTTAACATGCTAGTGTAACTCATCTAGAGAAAAACTGCTGTAATTAACGTGCTAGTGTAACTCATCTAGAGAAAAACTGCTCTACTTAACGTGCTAGTGTAACTCATCTAGAGAAAAACTGCTGTACTTAACGTGCTAGTGTAACTCATCTAGAGAAAAACTGCTGTACTTAACATGCTAGTGTAACTCATCTAGAGAAAAACTGCTGTAATTAACGTGCTAGTGTAACTCATCTAGAGAAAAACTGCTCTACTTAACGTGCTAGTGTAACTCATCTAGAGAAAAACAACTGAAGCTGGTGTTTTAGCTGCCCTCTGTATGACTGTCTGCTGAGAAATTGTCGTCTTCAGCAAAATACAAAATTTCTGCACGTTGAACCCAAATTATGTTTACGCTCAATGTCGAAATACCAGATTCCAATTTTATGAGTTGCTCGAATTGTTGTTCTTTTATGCCAGCATCACATATTTTCCTGTTGGTTGAAGTCTTGAGTCTTAATACAACTTTTAAGAGATATTTTCAATTTATTTTCCTATAAAATTCTCTAGAAAAATTATACTTGACATACTCGTTCACACAAAGAACACCAGATTATAAACCTACGTAAAATACCATTGTTAAGCTGCATACAATACAGTTTTTAAATTGATTTCTTTATACTTTTTAGATTTGTATATAGACAAAGACAAATTCTAAGATTTCTATACTCTCCACTATGTTGGACATGTGTAAATGACATCACCATTTTTAAGTTATGTTACATAAAAAGAATTTGTGAATAATGGATCGCCAAAATTTGTATTCACATTTTTACCCACCAAATTATATAGTAATAAACTTATGATATACATTTATTCAAATGTGTTTGTAATAAATATTGTCCTGTTGGCTATCACAATTTAATGTTCCCTCATTTTTGTGGGAATAGTTCCTAACAACCGGATAAAACAAGCATTGATAATGTAACCAAGAATTAATTTGAATTAACCTTTTCAAATGGGGTCGGCGTGGGCGAGTCTGGTAAGCTCATGTTTGCTAAACCAAAAAGTCTTGAGTTCAAACCAGCTCAGCTAGTGGCAACACCTCTTCTAGGATAGGCAACCCCAAAATCAAACAACTGCTGCCTTGTTTTTTAGTGGTTGGGCAAAAGCTATGGAAACAAAGCCAAAACGAAAAGCAGGCTGAGCGGAGGAGTATCTCTTCCAGTACTACAAATTAAGAACGCAGAAGTAGAAAAAAAAGAACCACTTGAAAGTCATGTTGTCTTTTGCTGGTTAAATGTGTTTATATTAATTGTGTTCCTATTAATTCTATCCATATACATTTCCTCCTACAAATCTGTGCATGAGTTCTCTAGCGGAGATTCTAGCTGTGGTCGTTTATCTGTTTATGGTCCGAATAGAATCATGGCCGACTAAAGACATAACAAATAGTGGTAGTTCTCTCGCACTATACCATCAGGGAGTTCCATAGCTTCAACATTCACAAAAGATTAACTATTAGAGAGTTTTATGACATTTTTGCAGTTTACAATGTACAAAATATTACGGTCAAGACTACGTGTGCTCAACTGCTAGTATGTCGAGCCCTCTTCCAACAGATGTAATTGTAATACATGCATCCAATGCATCCAATCGCTTGGGTGAAAGTTAAATACGTGTAGGCCTCTAGTTCAGCGGACCGTACTCAGATACGTAGCCACCCATACCGGCACATGGGGCGAACTATAACTATAGCCCGCCCCTCACCATTTATATATGTATTTACGTTGGCGAAGAAGCTCCCTACACCCTACTTAACAAAATTAGCTTTTTTTATTTTGTCTTTCTACCCATTTGGCGCACTCCGATGGTCGGCACGCCCCACCTGCGCTCCCCTAGCTACGCCTCTGACAATGCCGTCATTAAAATTTACAACTATTTACTGACAGTTAAATAGATTGACAGTGAACGATAAACGCATAAGTGCATGATTGGGTAAACAATATAACAAGACAGACTAGTGAATAAAATAAAAATATGAAAGGAATTTATATATGACAGTTTTCTTGCGTCAGCAAAAAAAATATTTATAATTTCGGCCATAATAAAATGTAATAAACAAACAACTAAGTTCTTCAAATATGATGTACTATCTGCTGAACATTTAATAATGAATATTCCTCTTTTTACTACAATTTAAAATGGTCTTTCAAAAATAAAAAAAAATTCGAGAACGAAAATGTATACTTTGAAAGAGCTACGCCCTCTAAAAACGTAACAATGAATGACGAATGCGTATTTGTGCATTTAATAATGTCTGAAAGGGCATCAAAGTAAACTCAAACTTCAAGCAAATAATAAAATATTATAAAACAATGCGGATGTTTAAATACATTCAAATTATGCCCTCAAATTGTTTTGTCAAAGAAATGTTTCGAAACATTTGAGCTGAGACAATAAAAAGAGCGTGCATGTTACTTGCTCTATTGTATAGCCTAACAAATGAACAATAAAGCTCATAGTTATATTTTATTGATTTATTGGGACCAACAAAATTGAGAGGAAAAAATCAAACGACCGACTTTTGTTTTGTAAACAAGATTGATCAAATACTAGATGTAGCTAATATGATATAAAATATTCATTGTTTCTTTAGCTGATTGTTGCAAACCTTTTGATTTAGCGTTGAATAACGAACATGGTATTATCCTGTCAAGTTAGCACAACAAAGACATCCAATTTTTCCTGACCTGCCTGTCGCTGTATACAAGTCGCGTGCACATTAAATAAGTTTGTATTATTTGGGGAATAACTAAATAGTCTTCAAATTATATTTATTCGAGCAAAGATGAAGTCATACGTCGATTGATTTTTATTTTCACTTTTTCTTTATCTTGTGTTACACAAGTAGAGCAAATAACGACATAACTTTTAAATGCGTTTCTTCTTCTTTTTCATCTTCGTTCTTAATTTCAGTGTTGGAAGAGATCACTGCCAACACAATTAAGTATACGTTGTGCGCCGTTGAGGCCATTGACTGCGATTTCCTTTTTGGATTTGCTTCCATAGCCTTTGTCCAACCAAGAACAAACTACAAGGCAGCAGTTGTTTGATTTTGTAGTTGTCTCTCCTAGAAGAGTGGCTGTCCCCAGCTAACGAGTCTCATCTGCCCGAGGGTTCGATCTTGGCTAAATTTACTACTTTGTTTTTAAAAAATTTCGAGATTTATACAATTTGTGTCGGATAGCTGTTAGTTAACATAACAAGCACTCAATAAAAAAATCAACTCAATACACCATCTACTGGATTTACACTCTACCCAACTTACACTATCCGATACACTCGATACTGAATACGCCATGTACCCAAAACAAATTGTAGCTTATAAACAGAAAGGCTTCATAAACATAAAGGCTTCATAAACATGTATGTGTGCACACACACACTCACACACACACACACACACACACACACACACACACACTCACACTCACACTCACACTCTCATATACACACACACTTGCACAAAATCAATAAGTATTAAACATGGGTTTAATCTTTTTAAGGTACTTTTTTAAATATGCAATTTACTAAGATATATAAGACAACTTAAACAATATATTAAGTACAGCTTGAAATTTCAGTACATTTGGAACGTGAATACATTAAGAAAACATTTAGCTATATTTAAAAGATGCCATGATCAGCATGGATATAAAAATAGATAAATCAATTTTATAGACAACATTTAGAAAAAAAACTAAAATGTGGCTGTGTGGTTGAAGTGGTAGCCAGAAAACCATAAGTCATGCTTTAAAAATATTTTTTTTAAATAATACTCTTTGAATATTTTAATTCAAAATAAAATTTTCAGCTTTACAATGTCAAAGTTGAAAAGAATCTTCGTTTATCCTTTTTCGGCATGGCACAAGACATTGACTCCCGTCTGGATATTTATTTAAAATTTATATAAAATTAATCGTGGCAAGGAGGGAGATAAAAGGGAAAACAAAGACATTGTATGGAGTTCATCAGCG